TTTTAATCTTGTTTAGCTTCCTCAGAGATTATGAGACTTTTCCAGCTTTAGTTGGCATCTGGCTGAACACACTGCTCTTGCTGTGTGGTAACTTATCATAACAACCACAAATTTAAGGAAAATCCCCTCAAATAGCACACGTCTCATATCAGCAGAAAAATACGTCCTAAAAAATCTAGTATGAATAAAAAACAAAACACAGACAATTTGATCACAGCTTTATTTTTCTGAAGATTGTTTGGTTTATAAATATATAGATGTACCCTATTGTTGTACAGATGATTTTAGGGAATATAGAGGACAATGATATCTGGATTGTTGCTGCTGCTGCAATAGAAAATACATGTTACTATATTTGAGTGTCACAAGGGCTTTTGATCATATTACTGGTGTTAAATGTATTATTTTGATTTAATTATTTCATTTGAAATGTACTGATTACAGTAACTATGGCGTGTAAACACTGTACACTATACAGCGATCTTCTCACAAAAGAATGGATGAAGTAAGATCACTGATAGCAAGTCAGAGTGTCGGAAACAAAAACAGTCAGCTTCTTGACCAAAAGGCTCCTGCTCAGGTCTGTTGATGGTTTAAAGGAGCTCCGACTCTCAGAGCAGTTAGAGAGCTGGGTTAGCGGTCAGCTGAGCGGTCAGCCTGTGGGCACTCCTGGTCCTCTACCAGACATTTCTTCTTTACTGTTCCAACTTGCTGGGGCTTACCGGGTCGGTCCAGCTGGCCTTCCTGTCACTGGGTCCAGCTCGTTACCAGATGAGCAACTGAGAATATTACCGCCCTCTTTAATTAAGTGGACCAGACATTCAGTCACATGTCTAATGAGACAACTACAAAATCACTCATTAACCTATGGCCTACACTGGCAAGGCTCCATGTCCGCTAATGAACAGCCTAATGCTACAACACATGATTCATATGGAAGTCCATTAGCAGAAATGTTCCATCTGGAAGGTGGTTGCTTCCAGCTCTGCACCTGTAGGTCACACATGGGTATTAAAAAGCATGACAAGCAGAGGGAGTCCTGAGGTCAGAGCCTAAATATCTGCAAGGCACAGCCTCAGAAAGGTAAACCTCCAGAGGGGGGGGGGGGAGGGGGGGGCAAAACCTCTGGAGAGTCATAAAGATTTGTAAATCACATACATATCAAAGCCACTATTGCCATCTACTGGAGAAAATATCAGCATTGAAAGAATACTTTGGTAAAAATCTGATTATCTTTTTATTTAAAAGAAGATCAAAATAACTAATTCTTCCCCCGACAGGTCTTAAAGAACTATGACGGAATCCAGTTGCTTGATTCAAGCTCCTTCATCACCATGATGATGATGATACCACTGTGATTCAAACTGCCCAGTGCAGGGAGGGGGGTTGTGTATTGGTACATCCCAAGCTTAAAGAATTAACGTCAGCAGTAATTTTGATGTCAGAGAAAATGTGAATTGTCAGGTTGTCAGGTGTTATTAAGGTTCATCTAGACTGCCGAAATAAACGGCACCTGCAGGTCTTTTTATTTTTAGCCCCTGAATTCTTAGGCTGCAGCTGTTTGATGGGAACTGTGTCCTTCACATGCCTCCTTCAGCACTTCCACATCACAGACGTGTGGGGCTCATTTACATTATGATGAATGGTTTTCTCACTGTGCATTACACTTCCTCCATCAAGTTAATGTGTTACACTGACACTGACAGGACCCCGGGAGGCTGCTCAAGGTGCCACTCTGCCAGGCATGATATTAATGATGATCATACATGTAAAGGCTCCTTTTGACCGGACATATGAATACATATACATATATATATATATATATATATATATATATATATATATATGTGTGTGTGTGTGTGTCTGTGTAGATAGATTAAGAATGTGAAGGAGCGGAGAGGCACGGAGAGGGAGAGGACATGAGCTTCCTCATGTGTTCACTTGCTGTGGTGTGATGTCCTGACCAGGGAGGGGAGCTGCTGGCTGGCAGATAGGAGCAGACCCGGCTCAGTTTCTGGACCTTCTGACAGCATCATGCTGCACTTCACTGGTAGAGCAAAGCCAATCATCAATACCAGCGCTGATTATCCCTTCACTATCAAAGGTCTGACCCAGGGCAGGGTTTGCACTCTGTGTGTGTGTGTGTGTGTGTATTTGAAGTGGGTACGTTTCGTGTTTGTCACTGAAGCTGTAAGCTCCTGTGACCCTGGCATTGAATTCACTGAGTTTCTATTATCACACACATGAAGTCCACACACAGGGATGGACACACACACTGGTTTTTTCTTTTACATCTGCTGGCTGTGATGTCAGCGAGTGTTCTTTGAGCAGCTTAGCTTTAAGAGGTTTACTTTTTAACCCTTAATCTCTCCCTTTTTCCTCTATCTTCCTTGCTTAGGGAAGCATCTAGCTCTTCTGCGAGTCATATCATATTCGCTGCCCATCATCTTTGCCTTTGCCCATTTCTCTCTCCTCTCCTCCCCTCCTCTCTGCACGGAACACCAGCTTCCTGCTCTCCTCCTCTCCAGGTTTACATTTAGGTGGGAGTTTCTTTTCACTGTATCCAGGCAACCTATTCCCCGTAAAAAACGCCAGCAGTCCTGCAGCCCTTCTCCTAATTTACTTCTCATCTGATTTCCTCCTCTGTTCCACTAAACTTTTTCCTCTTGCTTCCCCACATCGCCTTGCCCTGGATCAACTGTTTCTTATTTTGTTGCCGGGCAGGATTGAGTTCATGCACTATCATCTAGGATGCAGCCAGGTTGTCAAATGGTCATGTGGTTTGTGTGTTTGCATGTATGTCCATGTGTGTGGAGCTGTGGCCCAGAAAACAGAGAGCATTATTTCCCCCTGGAGATAGGAGCTGTGCTGACAGGCAGAGAGAGCTCTGCCACACAGATCACCACGGCAACCCTCACTGAGGGAGTCACGCAGCAGCCGGAGAGCAGGGCTCTGCCCGGCCAGTCCCAGCCAACCGCCAGCCCATCCACACACACACCTCAGCCAATCAGTCTCTGACCAGGCACATGTTTCTGATAGAGAAATGATGGAGCCTTTCACATTCCTGTACATCTATCCACGTGAACAGGCACGAGGGGGTTTTTTAGTCAGGCCTTTAGGTGTGTGTGCTCCTGCCAGCGCTGGGCAGATCCTGAGGTGGCGGCAGCAGCCATCAGAGCACCACTCAGCCAGCTGGCTCCTGAACACAAAGCTGCACAAACACGTTGCTCAAAAGTTCCCTGACAGCTCAGTCTCTAACTCAGAGCAGCTTTTGGACACGAGGAGGTGGCAGTTACCACCTGCTTGTCAACTTCAGACAAATATGTCTTGTGCCCCATCGCTGGAACACGTGCAGAGAAAATACTTTCTCTGTATTACAAGTGTCTCGGTTCGGGCCGGAGACACTTCTGACCCCCCAGCGGTCATGTCTGCAGCCTGTGTGCACATTTACATCCATCCTCATCATACCGGGCCCAAATACGCACAGGGAGCGCTGCTGCTGGATGTCAGGTCTGCTGCCAGAGCCAGCGGACCCCCTCTGTGTGGCCTGCTTTCCAGGGGAGAGACACTCAACTGGGCAATGATGCACCGGGATTCACTCCCACATTCACACCTGAGTAGCTTTTATATCTGTGTAGCATAGAACACTGAAGAAGGGCCCTAAAGTTAGGCACCAGCATTAGTTTTTATCTATCTGATCGATGGTGTGACTGTATGTCCAGCATCCATTTACTCTACCACTTTTATTCTGAGAAACTTAAAGCTACGTTTACATTTTATTTTTGTAGAGTTTTATGAAGTACACATTTATTTTCGGTATTTAGTATCAAATTTATGTGATCTGATTAAGAATTTACAAAATCAGAAGCAGTACAGAAGACCAAGCTAAGGCCAAAAGCTACTCAGGATGGGACTCACTCTGTGGTACTATCTGAAGCAGATATTATAACTCCTAAGTCTACATTTTTTTTAATTGTAGGAGGTTTACATTTCATTTGCTTTTCTTTTGCCTGTGATGTGCTGTAACTGAAAGACACCGGTACTGTGGGCAGACAACAGGGTAAAAAATGTTTCCGCTCCACTGCACACTGAGTCTGAGCCTCTCTTCTGAACAGAGAACCGCTCCCACCTCTTCACCTGTAGGTGGAAACAGAACCCCCCTGTGAGCCGTCAGGGGGCAGGGCTTCTGTTGGGCTTACCTTTGACATCTTGACACAGCTCTTAGATCATTTGGGATTCCTCTCTGATCTCAGCTGGAGCTTTTCCTGCAGAACAGCAGCGTTAGAGAGCTGCTGCTGGTTAGTGCAGCTCCGCCTCAGCCTCTGCTCAGCTCCCTCTCATCCACTCACTCTCTTTCCCTGAATATCTTCAGCAGAGCATCTCTTCTCTTTTGTGTGGAGTTTTTTTCTTTTTCCCACAACACGTGCTTCTCCTCTTCCTCCCTTCCACTCTGAGCAGCAGCAGCACCCAGCAGACCAGCAGCAGAGGCTCTATCTCTAACTAACAGACAGCAAGCCTCCTGTTGCCATTTTCTCCTCTCTCCTCCTCCTCTCTGACGCCGTCATCATTCGGAGGAGTTAACAGCTCAGCAGAGTGGTGTGGGAGTGGAAGAAACTCTCTGAGAAGGAGGGAGAAACGTGATGCCAGAGGTGGTTTGTAAAGGACCAACGGGCCACATGATCTGAAGCATGAGAAGAGACAGGTTCAGCTCCAGCTGCATCAGGATGGATCTGCTCCTGTAGCGTGTATGACAACTACAATCTCTGAGGAGAAGGAGAAGAACAGATACAACAAGGAATGGACTGCCCCCCCCCTCACGTGGACCTTCTCCAGCGATGAGGCTGAGTCCGTGTCTCGCGGTTCCTTCTGGCTGGACCCCCCCCGCGGCCTCCTGGTGCTGGTGACTTCCTGGGGCCCTGTTGGCTGAAGCAGCTGCTGGTCAGCAGCCTGAGGGGCCGTCCTGACCCTGCCCCCCCCCGCTGGCGCTGCTGCTGAGGACCATGGTCCTGCCCTCGCTGCTAGAGCTCCTGAACGTCCTTCTGCGCCAGTCCGCCTTCAGCAGAGCTGCAGCCGCCCCGCGCAGCCGCCCCCCCGCCCTGATGCCGCGCCCCCCCGCCCTCTCATGCTGCCGCGGCTGGGGGGCCAAGGAGCCCCCGCCCCGTCGGCCCACCGAAGGGAGAGAGGTGAGCCTACAGGACCGGTGGCTGAGGAGAGGTGACCGACCGCTTTATTTACAGAAAAGATTGACACAGAAGATATTCTAGTGTTTGTGTAACCTTATCCCACCAAAACGCACCTGGTCTCTCACTGAGACGTTCACGCTGCGCTGCTGGAGGCCTTTTCACAGGAGTTTATGGCTGGGGGTTTTGCGTAAGTGGGAGTCGTTCCTGTTGCAGTAAGAGGATCTTTTCCACCTCTCATCAGGTTCCAGCGTTTTCAGTGTGCTCATTCTGTACCACGGAGCAAGTCCATGAGAGCTCACACATGAGCTGTGAGGGCAGGTTGTCCCAGAGATTTTGGATAAATTCTTATGGCATCCATTGAATATGTGACCTCATTTTTCAAAGTGGCCTGTGAGTGCTGTTGAGGAAAGCTTGACAGCTGGATCTTGTTTAACTCATTTCGGTCCTGTGGCCCTGCGATGGACTGGTGACCAGTCCAGGGTGCACCCCCCCTCTCACCCAATATCAGCCTGGGATAGGCTCCAGCCCCCCCGTTAGCCCGGTTGGGAGTAAGTGGTACAGAAGCTGAATGGAGGGATCTGGGTGCCCTCCTGATGGTTTGTTCTTTGGCCTTCAGTGTCTCCAGGCTGAGTCACTTTTTATCTTGTCATCTTGAAAAGCTGAACATGGAGGTCAAAATACAATGTGAAGTCACTCTCCAGTTTCTAATTCTACTTAACAAACAGGTTACAGTTGAAAGTATCAATTGAAAATGTGTGATGGCTAAAAGATTAATTTAATGAGTTCAGTCACTGCAGAGCCGGAAACTGGAGCTAAAAAGAGCTCTCTTTTTGAAAAATGAATCTACTGCCAAAGGGGGAGCACAATCCCTGGTATGTTTGCATTGGTACTGCATGCGTTTGATCAAATGCTGGGTCAGTGAGCTTCAGACTGTGTTCAGTGGAGCTGCAGTGGTGGTGGCTCTCAGGTGGGTTCCTCCTGTGGTCACAGATCAATGATCGGATCATTGTGAAGCAGCCTGCCACTCTCAGTCAGGGTTGGGCTCCGTGTCCCGTCTTCCTCTCTGCTTTCTCTCTGCTCTCTATTCTAACGTTGCTTGTTGTCAGTGTTGCAAGGTTTTGGCAAACCCAGTCCTAGAACACAGCCACTGTTTGTAGGGCTCTGTCTCCCTGTGTGTTGGAGTCCTGGCCAGGGGCCTTTCTGGGGTCTCAGGGTTGGGCCATGTCCCTCTCATGTGTGCGTAGACTGACACCCGGCCCAGGCTGTGCACCACCTCTGACTCAGTGACAGCTAGAATAGGCTCTGGCACCCCTTTGACCCCACTAGGAATTATTGGGTGTAGAAAATTAGAACATAAAAGGGATAAAACTAAACGCAATAAATCCAGAGCTCTGGATCAACCCAGTTATTGTAATTAGTCAATCTTTTTTGTTTATTTTGATCAATAGAAACTTGGTTTCATTACAAAGCAAGATCTCATAAAAAATATAGAAACCTTGATTAACCACTGGGCATGACAGTGAACCCCCACCTGCCCAACAGGAAGCCTCTAATGGGGCGTGGTGTCCTCTTTGTGCTGGTCCCCAGCCCAGATAAAGGTGAGGGTTGTGTCAGGACCAGCATCCAGCTAAGGCCCCCCCCAAAGGTACTGTGCGAGGCAAAGCTGACATTCTGTGGGCCCTGAGGGAAAAAGGCATTTGAAACATAGATCAAAGTCATGAAAAGCTCTTTAAGATGCTACATTAATATTAGGGACCAGCTGGAAAACTGGCATTTGCTTACTCTGCTTTGATCTCCTAGGACGACTAGACAAGCTTTATACTTATTTTTCTGTTATTAGAATAGTGTTTTTCCTTCAAAGTAATGTCGAGGGAATTGCTGTAAACTTACATAAGAAGCCCACCTTAAAGGCTCTTGGAGGATAGACAGGAGGACTGATTCAGATATCTGTGCAGCTCTCAAAGCTGTGGTGGCTCCCAGAAGTCTGGTGTGGGCAGGTGTAGGAAGATGGAGGCAGAGGAGACCGGCCATCTGTGTCCCCCACACACATTTTGTACAGCATGCCTGAAGCTGTTTTCAGAGTGTGTGTGAGGGAGAAAAAGAGAGCATCGCACAACGTGGAGGCATCACATTCCAAGAACAACTGAGAATGACTCTAACTTGTTCAGGGGGTTCAGACTTCACCTATGCTCTGCTCATAGGCCGATTCTCCCCATCGTTCTTAGAAGAGGAGAAGCATGACATGTGAAATTACTGTCATTCCAGTTTTCTGTCAGTTAAGGGCTTTTCAGGGTTTGGTCAATGCCAGGTGTTTGACGCCGTCTTTGACCCTTCCTTTGACGTGTCTCTGTAACATCCAAACTTGTTTTGGTGAGGTTCCAACAACCCTGATGCTAACCCAGAGTCAGTCTTAATAAGAGCACGGTCATGTGACGGTTTCCTCTGCTTGCTATGGGAAAAGGAGCACCACACTGTGACTGCAAGATTAGTTCTCTCTTCATTAAATCCTGTAGTGGGTAGAAAAATTAATTTAGTACAAAATAGTACAAATGTATGGATAATAAATCCTCCTTTATTTTATTTAATTAAACTGGTGTCATGGAGACAGACGGAGAAGACAGAAGATGGGAACTAATGTGGAGTCCAGAGGAGCCCAGAGCAGGCCGGGTGTTGGCGTGGGTTAGGGTTAGGGTTAGGGTTAGGGTTAGGGTTAGGGTTAGCTGTCCTGTGTGCTGTAGTAGCATGGCCTTTCTGTCAGAGGTGACCCATACAGCTGCCCACTGTGTCCACACTGACCAGAGCAGCACACACCCTGAAACAGCACAGCCCTGCAGACAGAAGGGTTTCCGTCATGCTTCTGCACACTATCAGCCCAGATGTCGTCTCAGTGATTCAGAGTGTTAGCCTCACATCTGCTAAACTGTAGTGGTACAACAATAGATGGGACCGCTAAGTCAAGCATGCCTTGTTAGCCCATTCATCCAGAAAACACACTGAACCGCATCTCATCCTTCTCCCAGCTCCTTCAGCTCTGCTGCTCCTTTCAGTCCTGTGTGGGCTGACAAGAGCTCCGGTCACTTTTATAAGGGGCCCTTAGTGACAGTATACTGAAATTACACCCACACACACAACTGTAACGTTCTCACACACACAACTGAAACGTTCTCACATGCTTGTTGAAACTTCCTCACATTCTTGGATTCACTACTGAAACGTTATCGATGAACTACTGAAACATTCTCAGATGCAATAAGAAAACAGCTCTTTAGAGGAGGTGCTGATCTCTGGGCAGAGCTTCTGGGATGGCCATGGGGGTCTCCTCCTGATCGTCTGCACACAGACCGCACACTATACAGCCCAATCATTTCCTAATTTGCCATTCATCAGCCTTCTGTTCTACTCATGATCACTAACTAGATAACTAAATAAAATACTGATCAGGAGAGCAAGGATGCATATATACTGAGAGGATGATTGTTATTGAATGTAAAAGCTCAGTCATCATATTAGTGTCAACATTTTACAATATCTAAAGATCTTCTGTTGTCTCCTCTTATCTCGAAGTAACCTAAAATTAGTCCATTATTACATGTTTTGCATTTATATTTACATCAGTCCCATGGCGATTTTTGCAAATGCCTTAAAAACTGAATGCTGTTTCTTTTATTGGTCAAATGAATTTCCCATTCATTCGGAGAGGAAAATGGTTTTATTATAATGTCAAGGCAAACAACTTTGGATGGGAAAACGTGTATGAACACCGGAGATAGGATTTGCATGATAAACGCGTATTTGAAGTGCCTTTCTCTTAGTGTTTAAAGTCCCTTCGTGGTTTCACACATCAGCATCTCTTTTTCCAAGTGGCCTGATTCCGTAGTTTGAATCTGATGCATGCTGGCACCGTCTGATCACATGCAGCTCCCTGCAAAGCCACATTAAATTCCATCATGCAGTACTACAACAGTATTTTAGCCTTCTGCTCACAGGATTACTATTTTGGAGGTGTTGGTGTCTGTATTTTCTGCAAACCAGCATAACATGGTAACAAAAGGACCAGCTGAGACATGCTTGTTGTTTTCAGCTGAGACCTTAAGTCCTAGACATCTAGTAAATGCAAGCTTTTTTTCTCTCACACACATACTAAACAAAGTGATTTTAAACTGAAGCTGATTCTGCAGGACAGCTCTGAATTTATTCTTAATTTCCTTGTGTTGTAAATGAAACAAAGTGCTCTGTGTGGGCAGAGAGCCACTGTGGCTCCTCATGTGCTGTTACCACGCTGCATATTTCACGTCTTCTCTGTTTGGAGGGAGACAAAATAGAATAGAGGAGAGACTGAAAAAGATTGAGGCAATAGCCAAATAGACAAAGCTGAAGGGAACCATTACAACAGATGAGCCGTGAGGAGCGCTGTGAAACATGGAGAGATATTTAGTGGGGGAACAATTCACCCTATTGCTCAATGGTTCTGGTCATGTATTTATGTTGTGTTTCTCTTTTCATGGGCTGGCCGACTAGAGAGCGGTGGCTGGCTGATATGAAACTGACACACACATGGGTAATGATGGGTGCCATACACAAGGCTCACACAGACAGTAAACGATGTATTCTACAACACCAGTGACCAAAACAACAAAGACTACAACAGTGACCACAGGAGCAGCAGCAAAAGCACGGACACATGTCAGATTCCTGGGCACTTTTTCTTTGCCCCTTCACCCTACCCCTGCAATCATTTAGCCTTTTCCACAGAAGAATGGGCCGGATAAAAGAAAACTGAGAACCATGACCTGAACTCTGTGTGTAAGGGTGCAAAACAACATTTCTTTTAAATCTGCATCATTTCCAGTTGTGTGGAAACGTATGGGTACCCATAAGCCGTGTTCTCAGACCATTCCTTTTTCTGTTTATGTCTTTATTGACTGATTAAAAAATGTGATGAAATGTTTAAACAACATTATGGCACAATTATGTTTTTCACTCCTTCCCCTCAGATATTGAAGCTTTTAGTTTGTCCATATAGGACTAAAATTTTACACAGTCTGGTTATAGTTGTTATATGAGAGGCTGGCAAAGCCTAGACATACATCCAAGTCCCTTCTATGCCATATCAGAGGAGAAAATAGAAAAGTGAGCTGGTCTGACTCACAAGGATTACAAAAATTCGGAAAGCTCTTCATGGGAAAGAATGCAGCCCTGTGGCAAGGTTGGGATAAGAACAATAAGAGCTCAGCATCTGCTCTAACATTAACATTTCCTTTGAAAAATAGATTCACAATACATTTGTTGTCATATTTGTGATCTGCCCTAAACTCTAACCCTAAAACAAAGAACATGTTCAGGAGTGGGGTCACCTTGGGTTTAACATCATGCCTGAAATCCTTTGGGATGTCACTCTGTGTTCACAATATGATGATAACATGTTTTTAGATGTTTCTTCTTATTTCCACTTTGAAAGTAGCAGCCGTTCTCCCTCATTTCCCCTAATGTGAGCTGGGCTGGATTAACACCACAAAATTCAGAGAGAGCACACTGAACGTGAATGCATGAGGATGTGAAATCATCCATCTTTTTGCAAACACTGCGAGGTGACTGTTCCCTCAGCAAAGCCCTGATAACTCTGCCGCTGACTGGGAACTTATCAGCACACTGGATTAGATAGTAACACATTAGTCCTTTTCAACAGAACAAAGCCGTAGGCCACTGTCAAAACCTGATGTCCTCGCACGTGTGTGTGTGTGTGTGTGTGAGGGTGCCTGCTCAGCAGTGTGTGTTGCTGCTGGAAATCAGACTAAGACATTAAGTCCTCCATATGAAGTGTGTGTGATGGATTAAGCCAAGAAAATGTTAAAGTGGGATTTATCCCACCTTAACTCAGGACGACAAGGAAGTTTGCAGAAAAAAAAAAGACTCTACCTGAAGAGTCCAGGCTGGTTTTGTTGTGTAGCATTATTATTCAAGCATTATGTCTGTATAATGATCTGCAGAAGTAAAGCAAGAAACTGCTGGCCAAAGCGAGTTCAGGTGGTCCAGCTCTTTGCTGTTTTTAGAGAGAGCCTGAGTGTAGAAATGTCTTTATGAAGGAACATACCAAACGTGTCTTACACCTCCTCCAGTGAAGGGTTAGTTAATGCCTGGTGGAGTTTTTTTTTCTTTGCAATCCAAAAGTGGTAGAGATGTGGTACTGAGTGAGAACTCTGTGTACATATCCACCATTAACTGAGAGGGGTTATGTAATGATGCCTTATTGAGCCGGTATCAAACAGCTGAGCCTCTGCTGACCGCAGTGCTGCTGCCTTATTCTGTTTTCAAGGCTGTGAAACATTTATGAGCTGCTGTAGCTGATGTTTGCCCCTTCCCACAGTCCCACGGCAAAGATGGGTATGAGAGGGTGATGGTATTTGGCTATATATGAAATATTGATCACTGTATTTTAGTGAAATATTGATAATGTTTGTGGAAGGTTTTGAAGCTGAAAAGCTGTGGGATCTGAAGCATGGATTTTAAAAATGAGACAGTGTAAGAGATTTTGCACACCGGTGTTTTCTCCTCATTTTGTACACAGAGTTGATGTCAGAAAGCAGAACAAAAAGAAACAAACTTACATAAAGCAAGCGTGCTTCTTTGTGTAAGTGTGTGTGTCATACTGTTTGTCCTCCAGCATCCTATTTTCATTTTTCTGACATAGACACATATCTGGCCTCTCAGTGGTGTGATGTCATAGCTCGCCCTGGGCCAGCGGACTGTGCGTAGACACACACACACACACACACACACACACGCACACACACAATGACATTATGAGTCACTGGCCCAGGTTGCTCTGCACCACACTGCAATATTCCATGCATTCATCTATGTTTGAAAAAGAGGCGGCCTTACTTCAGAATGAAGTAGATCACATCTTTCTCAGATAACTGGTTCTGTATGAATTGAGTTGGAACTTAAGAACTTGGATTTGACAGGGAAATTATGCAAAAACATTCAACTGGATTTGGTTTGAATTGTGCTGTTTCCTTAAAGTGGCTTCAGATTGAATAACGTAGCCCCTAACTGTCTCGGGCCATTCATTGTGTGAGTGCTGAACTTAGCCCAGTGTTCCGGATTCATCGCAGGCCGATCCCGCGGGTTTCAGGGATAAATGTTCCACTGGGGCAACAGCAGCGTTCAGAGATGATGCTGTTGAGCTGGAGGTCCCACCGCCACTGGGAGGTGGCAGCAAACAGCGTGCCGAGGCTGAAGTGGTAGGACTACTTTATCCAATCTGCACACAAACGTGTCCTGACGTCTGCACTTTGAACAGTCCTCATGGTAATAACTCCCCATCACACAGACAGATATAAATACGCCTCAAGACATTCCAGGAGGGGACGCCCAGCTCGGGGGGCTTGATGGAAGCGGGGGGAGCGTGTGTGTGTTGGCAGGAGCGGTGTGTCTGCTCCTGTCTGCATCCAGATGATGGACACTGTGAGAGGGGCAGAGAGCTGATGAAGTCTTTTTCAAACCTGACGTGTGAACTCCTCACTGGGACCTGCTGCGTTCTGTTGTAGAGACAGTAGAGACAGCTTTGGGTCCTGGACGCATTTCCCTGGAAGGTTCCAGATCAGCCCTCACATTTTTGCTTGACTGAAAACCAATTGCCTGAAACCTACAGAAACCTGAAATAACTTAATTGTTTCCAGCAAAGCTTATTGCACGAAATGATGTCAATGACTGTGTCTGAGCTCTTCAAATGGGATGCAATGTGAAAAACGGCCCCAGGTTGAGCTGCTTTGATTGGTTCAAAGCATAACTCCCCTCTCACCAAAAGGAGATTAGATCGATCAGACTGCTGCTGCACAGCTGTCCTTAGTGGGGACATAAGCACATCTAACACAAAAGCATATGTACTTAAATAGATGAGAATTTGTAGTATGCTTTTTAATCATTTCTCTGTTCTACCCTGTTGACCTCTTTGGGTTAGGATTATGCTGACCTTTCATCAAACAAAAAAAAAACCCAATGATTTGTCAGTGAAGTTTGAGCCATTCTTTGCTATGTTGTGGTTGCACTGTGGAAAATGTTTGAAATGATCAATTCTACCAAATGTCTTGAACATGACAAATTACCATTCAGTGTTTCTTCCAAACTTTAATGACAAATGCTGAAGGATGGGCAAGTCTATGCCTGCTGTGTGTGTTAGCCAAAATCTGAAACTGAGCTCCAGAGGGAGCATTATGGTGCATTATTACAGCTGGTAATAATGCACCACGTACAGACGAGTGTAGCGTTATGCAAGCAGCACTTAAACAGCACATTGATGATAACACATTGGGAGGAGCAGACGTATGGCGAGCTGACTTTAATGAGAGACAGCTAATTTACAGAGAGGCTAAACTCTGAAGTATTACACAGGCTATGTTATATAAAGGTTTGAATGTGTGTGTGTGTGTGTGTGTGTGTTTAGGTAGCAAATGCTGATCTCGATTTTAAAAAGTCTTTTAAGAAATATAGATATTTTTAGAAATAGATACCATTTGTTTGGAGCTGCTTTTAATGTGATCTTATGTCAAAACTGTCATGGGACCCCGGCTGATGGAATGGGGAGAGTGACATTAAAAGCATGAGTTAGAGGAACATGGAGTGGGAAAGGGAGCTAAAAGCTAATGATTGTAGCCAGACCAAAAAAAGAAAGTAAGACTCAAGGCAAGATGAAAGGTGGATGGATGAAAAGTGACTGGGCTGCTGGCTGCATGGAGGAAGAGACGAGGCAGAGAGGTGGAGCAGGGATTGTTCTGCAGATAGCATCACCAGATGAAATTAGAAGAGACAGGATTATTTAACGGGTCGAGGTGAGGGCAGGTGCAGTAAAACATGGTGTGAAGTGTAAGGAAAGCTAAATGGAGTGAACTGCGGAAACAATGCACAGCTGTCCAGTTTGAACAGGAAATCCATCTTTTAGCATTGAGCATTGCAGATTGTCGTTGTTACTTCTAATACATGCTTTCATTTCCTTTTATGCGGCATACAGACAGCTTCACCTGCACCGTAATATGTGGGAGAGTTGAAGCAAGGTTCTCCCAATTTTAAATCCTCTGCAAAGCTTCAAGAGAGCAGATGTAGCCTGGACCATTCTCAGTGATCCACATCCAGAAGAGTCAGTACTTTGTGTTTGTGGCTACCCGCTGTAATATGTACACTGGTACGTCAACACAGCTCCTCTGATGCTGGCAGGATATCCTGAGGGTCTTATTTAGAGGTGCTGCTTTAAAGGCCCCATCCTTGGATCGTTTATTGTACAGACAAATGGGAGGATCATTTTGCTCTTCTTTAAGTTTGTCGAAGGCTCCAGTGTTGACTGTGTTGTGTTTCTGTGCGCAGTGTGTTCATGTGTGGTGTCGGTTTGTGAGTGCAGCGTTCAGAGTTGAATCTCTCTGGCCTGGCTGGCAGCACACAGTGAGCTCAGCAGCTCACTGTGGGATTCTGTTAGGCGGCCAGGCCCCCCCTCTTCAGGCTGATCCACTCCGGATCTCACCCACAGCTGGAGCAGCGCACACTGCTCAACCAGTACTGCCAGTACCGCTGCCCAGTGCTGCCCACAACAGCTCAGACTCCACTCCTGAGGTGTCGGTTCTTCTCCACTATCTCTGTGGTTGAGTGCGACCCTGTGCACGTGTGGGGGGCAGGCTGCCTGAGAGGGGGACCTGAAGAAGGTCAATCCCTTCACAAACGCTCTCATCATCTTCAGTGGACCCGGGCTCCGTTGCTCCGATGGCAGAACACTGTTGTGTAGCCACTGAGGGCACAGCACACACACCGAGATCTTTGTGTATTTTATTGTTCATCTTCATGTATCACAGTTGTCTGCTAACTGCTGGAAGAACCTGCATGTTTTTTCATTACACATCATGTACATAGATGACACTTGTCTCCAACCTTTCCATTACTCGACTTTCTAGTTTCTCGACCGGTTTTCTCCTGCTCTTCCTTTTCTCTTCCATTCCACATCTGACTTCTCCTCCGTCCTCCTCTCTCCATCCAGGTGCTGTCTCTGGGAGCAGATGTTCTGCCAGAGTACAAGCTTCAAGCTCCTCGCATCCACAAGTGGACAGTGTTGCACTACAGCCCCTTCAAAGCGGTGTGGGACTGGCTCATCCTGCTGCTGGTCATCTACACTGCCATCCTGACCCCCTACTCAGCCGCCTTCCTCCTCAATGACCACGTAGGCTCCCATTCTCACTCTGTGCTCAAACACATATAGCTCACAATATCCAGAGGCAGGTCCCAAAGATACTTAAAGGGCTTTAGATGTGGACATGACACTGTCATATTATGTTAAGAAATCCACATAAAAAGAAGCAACATTATGACATCCCAATAAAAGAATGCTCAGTAGTCTTTACAGCTAATATCACTTGACTCCTCTATCTTCTCCCAACATCCTAAAGCTCACCATTTGTCTTTGTTAATACAAAAATTAACTTAAAGCTCTTAATACAAGATCTTTTTGGAAACCAGCTTGTATTTTGTAGATATACCCTGTGTGATCAGACTTCCTCTGTCCTGTCTATGTTTTCTTTTTCCGTCCTCTCCTTGCAGGAAGAGGCAGTCATGCAGAGCTGTGGGTACTCCTGCTCCCCTCTCAATGTGGTGGACCTCATAGTAGACATCATGTTCATCATTGACATCCTCATCAACTTCAGGTTGTTCTAGAAGCAGCTGTTGCTAAATACATTCATTTTGGAGGAAAAAAAAGATTTTCCTGAACATGAAGGAGCATTGGTATGTCAGTGGGTCTGATCGGCTCTTCTTCTCTCAGGACAACATATGTGAACTCCAATGATGAAGTGGTCAGCCACCCAGTGCGTATCGCCGTCCACTATTTCAAAGGCTGGTTCCTCATTGACATGGTGGCTGCTATTCCATTTGACCTGCTCATCTACCGCAATGGAGAGGAGGTAAAGGCGTGGGGCCAGAGGTGGTAGGAGGTTTTCTAGCTGCTGGGTAGTTTAAAAAGAGTCTGAGGAGTGGGGTGGGGGGCACAGAGACAAATGCACTTCCATTATGGCTGTCTGCCAGGGCTTTTCTAAACTGCAATGAAGACACTTGTTTTGTTCATGGGGAAGCTGTTTTGTAGTTGGCTGGGACATCAAATATGCCTTCATTAACAGCACAAACACGGGTCATTATCGTTAGGAGGCTGGCCTTCATGTGTCCGGATTCAGTGCTTCTCTACAATAATCACATCAACATTTTCAACAGCCCGAATGGCCTAAATTGGTTGAAGAAATATTGACAGGCTGTATTTTTCCTTTTTGAAAGTCTACAAACCCCAATTTCTGAAGGCATGGCCACTTTGACTGAGTGTTTGACACTACCAGGGGGGGCTGGGTTTCCACACGTCTGAGATAGATTCAGGGCCAAATGCCCATCTGGAAGCTACACAAGAGCAGACCGGAGGCCTCTGGAGTGGGACTTTACTGATGCTCCTCCATATTCCCACTCCAAAAGTTTGTGCCATGGAGTTTGTATGGAAATATACAGCCAGGTGTAATCGCTGATGACAACACTGAAAGGGCTGCTGTTACTGAGAGTAAATACAAACATGGATCTAAAAGGAGATCAGTGATCAGGCTAAAGCTGTCAAAGGTGTATAGTTTTCCAACAACCACATCAGTGATTCTCTCCACTAACAAAAGAGCATGTAGATCCTTTTGTGGAGAGAGACTTTGCCTCTAAGGTGTGAGGACACCCACACAGGTGGAGCAGGCCCGGGCCTCCACCAGCACAAAAGGATCGGACATGGAGGCAGGCATAGCAAATATACTGCCCACAGTAATGAATGAGTCAAGATTGACCCCTTAAGAGTGATTCCCTTTGGGATCCGGCCATTGCCACCCCACGTTGGTGTGATTAAATGTGAGAGTGTCAGGAGACGGAGCCTTTTTCTTTCTGCTGTGGTGCTCTGACATGATCTGCCTTTCCTCTTCCTCCCACATCAGACCACCACTCTGATTGGTCTTCTGAAAACGGCTCGTCTCTTGCGGTTGGTGCGTGTAGCCAGGAAGTTGGACCGCTACTCAGAGTATGGTGCTGCTGTCCTCTTCCTTCTCATGTGCACCTTCGCCCTCATCGCTCACTGGCTGGCCTGCATCTGGTAACAGTTCATTCAATGTCTGATGGTTTCCAGTAGATCCACAGAAATACAAAACCACGTCTTTCACTGGCTGTGTTGTCGTAGGAACTTGAGCATTAGCAAATAGAAACTTGTGCCGTCAAAAAGAGTAACAGTTTGAGTTTAATGTGATCAAATAAAGGAAGGTGACATCTCAGATCATCTTGCTTTTTGATTGTTATAATGACTGATGACATCAAACAGCATTTTAATTTCTGTCATTGTATCCAGGTATGCAATTGGTAGCGTAGAGAGGAATGGATCTATTGGCTGGCTCCACACGCTGGGAGACCAGCTGGGGAAACACTTCAATGATTCTGTCCCAGGTAAGTAGGGAGCAAACGTTCTCTGCCTGACCGTGCTGTGATTAGAGCTGCAAATGGATGAGACATATTGATGCTGTAGTTTAGACATTTTACTTTCAGGTTTTTGATTTGAGTTTTTTAAACAGTCAATCATTTTTTTGTTTCTGGAAGAATGTAAGATGTGCAGAATGAGAAGAGGCCTATGCATTCCATAAGAATGAAGGAAGAGCTGATCACACTGAGTGATGGCATGCCCTCTGTCTGCCCCAGGTTCAGGACCTTCCATCAAAGACAAGTACGTTACAGCTCTGTACTTCACCTTCAGCAGTCTGACCAGTGTAGGGTTTGGAAACGTGTCCCCCAACACCAACTCTGAGAAGATCTTCTCCATCTGCGTCATGCTCATCGGATGTGAGTGCTGTCCACGTTGTTCCTGCCTCACCTGTGTTAGCTGCAGGGGTTATCTCCTGCCTCATAATGGATCAAACTACCAGGGCTTAAATCAAACTTTCACAAGCATTACTACAGTACTGATCAGATGAATTCACCTGATTTGCTGCCCCATCAGTGTTTGTGCTCACCAGCTTTAAACAGCACAGAGTCCAATCCACTGGAACAACACAACAGGGGGTATCATGGTTAGCACACAGTACATATGATGTACTAAGTGAGGGGCATTTAAACCTCACAAGCAGAAGGCTTTCATTTTTTCCTCCTAACTGTAGCACCAGCCGGATGGTTAAAGATCTTAGATGGAGGTTGCACCCTCCTGTGGCCAACATCAGAATTACTTATTTTAACTGAATATTGATTAATGAAAAAAGAAAAAAGGAATAAATTGTTTCAGGTGAGGAGTGTAAGTCTTGTTTTTTATTAATCCAGTCTGAAGAGACTAAGATGGTCCCTCTCCTCTCATCAGGCCAAATTTCCTACCACTCAGAAAACACTCCTCCTAGCTGCTCTTTACCTGGTTCCAGTCTCCATCTCCACTGGAACAGAAGTGTGTTATGACTGTCGTGTGATCTATGGGAGGAATCTAAATAGAGTCATAGAGAATTGTCGTATCCCATATCGTTTACACACGCACAAACACACGGTGGAAAATAATTCATGAATACCTTCATGCATCTTTTGCTGCCTTTACATCGAACTGGCCCACCAAGACGTGTGGGACCCATTCCTTTTATCTTGTTCTATCAAAAATACAACTCAGCCTTCAGACAAAGCCAGTGCAGCTCTGTTCTGCTGCAGCACAGATGGTCAGAGCTGTTCCTTTGACACATGGCCGTAGCAAAAGTACAGTTAATTCATATGTAATCAATACCTATTAATTTGTGGAATGTCATCTCCATTGTGTCTGGGCTTCAGTCATACCCTTTCTCTCCCCTCAGCAGCTCTCCACTGGCAGGGTTCATATCAAACCTACCACCCACAGGCGGGGGGGGTGGGGTGGGTACCATTGAGGAAACCTGTCTGTACTCGTGTTAATGCTTTACTCTGCTTCCCTCCTTCCCGGTACACCTCCAGCCCTGATGTACGCCAGCATCTTTGGAAATGTGTCCGCCATCATCCAGCGGCTCTACTCGGGCACGGCCCGCTACCACACCCAGATGCTGAGAGTCAGGGAGTTCATCCGCTTCCACCAGATCCCCAACCCTCTCAGGCAGAGGCTGGAGGAGTACTTTCAGCATGCCTGGTCCTACACAAACGGCATTGATATGAATGCAGTGAGTACTGACCTTCATGCATCCAAATCCTGTGTGTAAAAAGTTTACTGAGGGACAGTCAGATTACACACGAGTGCACACCCAGACCAGAGAACAGCGGGCAGCCTGGCATGTCTGTGGCTGAAAGGATGACAGAACTCCCACATACAGCAATCCTTAAGTGCTGACGGACCAGTATAGATGGACTACTAAAGCTCAATCACTTTTTGGGTTAAGGATGCTGCACAGACATGTTCCTTTACACACGCGTTACTGCCCAGAGGAAACATGCATGGGCCAGTAGAATTAGATTCAAATCCAAAAGACAGCCACTGGCACCGTGACTCATGTCTGCCAGTGGACCTAAACACACCGCACGGCGGTTTTGCGTGCTTGTTGTGTAAAGTGGGCCTCTGCCTGAACTCTGAGTCACAGCTTACAGCACGGAGATGCTCAAGCAGGTAAAGATCCACCTTCAAACTCTGTTCCCATGTACAGCTGTCACAACAAGCTAAAGGCAGCTCATGAATGGCTGTAAAGTCTGACACAAGCACAACGGAGTGCTCACAGATCTAAGCACTCATGTGGTCATCTGACCCTGCATGTGAGGGTCAGTGGAAAGTCGTCTGACATGGAGTTTTGCTTTGGGTAGTTGGCCGATCCTAAATACAGTGTAATTCAGTGCCTTTTTGCAGAGTCTGGAGGTGTAAAGTGAACTAACACTAACCCTAAGTGTTAGAGCACCTATCCTGTACGAGCAGAACAGGACTACTACAGATAGTTGTACCATTCCCGATTATTATATAAGTTAAAGGAGACTGGCCCTTTGTTGTTTCTCTGGGTTACTGTCTGTCCAGTTTGTAGGAGCAGATTTTTGGCTCTCTTTTTGGCTTTCTGGCTCTGGCTGAACGCTGATAGCTGCTGACTTTCAGGGCTATACTTTAATTTCTTTTCAGTTTGCTTTTGCAGTTGGTTTTCTCTCAGTCGTTCCTGTCAGGATAAACCTCTGCTTAGTGTGTGAAAAATTATTTCATGTTGAAGTGATAATGCAGGGTTTTGGAAAATAACTGTAAGCTGTATTACTCAGTTTTTGTGGTGTGTGAACTAGTTGAAGAAACTCTGACAGAAAAAGACAGATCTAGAGAAGAAGAGGGAGCCCAGAGAGGAGTGAACCAGAGGGGTGAGCACTGTGTGGGTATTCTGCAGTGCTGTTCTGTGAAGGCAGCCAGTGAGCTGCACAGAGGCTCAGCGTCTGCTAGAGAAAAGCAGTGAACCCTTTAAAACTGCAGCAATTATTTACAATAAATCTGTGGGTCTGCTGTCTGTGTTCAGACAGACCCTGCAGTACACAAAGACATAACGAAGCCAGGGCCTTTCTACGCTGAGCTGCCAGAGGTGCCCAGTTCTTTTTTCTCTTAATATGCGGGAACTGAAAAATGTCCTCTGTTTTGGACTGCAGCTCCGTGTTGACATGTCACCTGACTTATCACCTCTCCCAGTGGCACTTATTAGTGCCGACAGCAGCTTTTCTGCCAGCTCATCTTCTCCCATTGTGCTGATCTCTCTGTTTTCCCTCCCCTGCCCCTTCTCACATTGCATAATCTCCTGTTATTCGTTTGCTCCTGTGCGGTCCCTTATTCTCTTTTTCCCTCCTGCCCTCTACATCCTCTCCCAGGTTCTGAAAGGTTTCCCTGAGTGTCTCCAGGCAGATATCTGCCTCCATCTGAACCGGACATTACTGCAGAACTGTAAGGCTTTTAAAGGCTCCACCAAGGGCTGCCTCAGGGCCTTAGCCATGAAGTTCAAGACCACCCACGCGCCCCCAGGAGACACGCTGGTCCACGCCGGAGACGTCCTCACTGCCCTCTACTTCATATCCAGGGGATCCATCGAGATACTGAGAGGAGATGTGGTGGTAGCTATCTTGGGTAAAACAATCATTATCTCCAGACTTCATCCATACATTCTGATTGAATTAACTGTTAAGATTAATGTTTGAATGCCTGTGAATGTCTTATCTTCTGATGGATTTTGAAAATTGGAATTCCACATTAAAAACCAGCTTAAAATGAAATATTTATAAATTAGCCTCATTAAGCATTCAAAATATGATCTGTCCACACTAGAAAATGGCTGTTCAGTTGGCCTGCACCACCTAAAGCAGGCTGTAGAACTTTGTGGTTAAGTGCAGTCTGTCTTTTGCAGAGGTTCTGTAGAGGAAATAGGCAGGGTTTGTTCTCCTTGCAGGATATGTGCACAATTCTGACTTGCTTTGTTGCTTCATTGATTGTGAGTCAGCCAGCAGTCTACAGTATGCATGCTGCAGATACTCAAACGTGTTTGCACGGGGTTAGTGGGGCAAACTCCTCTAATGAGGAATCTCAAAAGGGCTTTCTATATGAGGAATTGTTTGTGTCCAATCTGGGTAGAAGACCTGTGAAAGAGCAGAGCTCTGCTGAGAACAATGGAGCAATTAAGAGGTCTGACCCAAAAAATAGCAATTTTTCCGGATGACATATCATTCATGTCACTAACAATCAAGTAACCTATGGGCCCCATTCTGGCACCAAGGCCACTCTCTTCTCATCAAATTCTGAGTTGTGAGAGTCTACATTAGCCTAAAAGAAGAAGAAACACGTTAAATAATGTTATTTTGACATTTTGGGGGTTATTATTAGTTTAGAACAATGTTTCAAACAGCACAGAATATGTTTTCCTCCCCATGTGAGCAGAAGCCCATCTTTATATACAAAAATCATTGTTTTTAAGGCTTAACAAGACTTGTTCATACATTTAAAACCTCACACTTAAAATGTCAAACATTTCTGAGCTGGTGGTGCCATCTACTGGTTTGTCATTTCAAATGGTTATGGATTTGGCTGGTTTGAGGTCCAAAAGTCAACACGCTACGTATCCTGAGGATGGATACTGAACCACACTTGGGTATGAATGTCAGCTAAATAAACGCTCCATATACATCCAGATTTACTGATATTTACTGTAATATTAAGATGAACCTTACTCTCAAATGTCACTGACCCAGCTAGTCCTCTGCTGGTCATTTTAACATGGCTCCCATTCCTGTGGGACTTCTGGGTCACAGGAGCCAGTCTGAATGGTGGGAGCATAGTAGATGAAGCTGATGTTTTCAGTAAAACTTAAAATCCCATTTTACTACTCTGTCAAACTGTCCTAAAAATATTTGCTTTCATCCCTTTCACTGTCTCCAGGTAAGAATGACATCTTTGGCGAGCCCATCAACCTGTACTCCCGTCCGGGTAAATCCAACGCTGATGTTAGAGCACTGACTTACTGTGACCTGCATAAAATCCTGAGAGAAGATGTTCTGGAAGTGCTGGACATGTATCCTGAGTTTGGAGATAATTTCTGGAACAATCTGGAAATCACCTTTAATCTTAGAGATGTGAGTGTACTCCCTCATCCAAGAACGTTGAAGGCTTACGCAGATTTCCATCCTGAGTAATTCAGAATGAAACGTTGATTCTGTCCCTCCAAACATCATGCTTCATTGCACAGTAATGAACGTAGTGATTTCTTTCAGACCAACATGATCCCAGGTTCTCCCAGCAGTGATGACTCCACTTGTGGGGGCTTCAACAAATTACGAAGACGAAAGTTATCATTCCGACGACGGACAGAAAAGGGTAACCTGTCCTATGTTTCTCTAAAACGTTTTGACTCGAACCATTTCATGAAAACTTCCCGAATGGGGAAAGATCTCTCACCCAGTCTGACCCAGCCGGTCGTCTTTAACCGGGCTGCTCACTCATCTGTCCAGATGATGAAGATGCAGGAGAAATTAAAAAGTCCCACAAGTCCTTGAGGAGAAAACAACGAGAGAGCAACCACAAAGGGAAGGAGGACACACCGAAGAGACAGTGGGGGGCACATCGAAGTTCAGTGTCTTCACACTCCAGTGGTGACGAGGTGGAACTCTTTCTCACCAAATGCTTCATGTTGGTGCCTGTTTGTGGAACATTTGAGTTGACCGTCTTTGGCTTCCTCCAACAGGGGGAGGAACCCGTTGTGACCGGCCTTGCTCCACCACTCGCTCTGCTGGAGACTCCAAAGGCTGACGCCCCAGCCATGAACTTCACTGAGGGGGACGGAGACCACAAGACCGGGAACACCTGCAATGCCCTGTCAGGTGAGCCCAGTAGGAGAAGCTCTGATATCCACTCAGGTCAATTCATTATTTATACAGTGTCCAATCACAAGAGATGCAGAGACAAACAACCACACTCACATCCTCTCCTAGGGGCAATGTCTGTCCTATCAACCTAACATGCAGGTTTTTGGATGGTGGGAGGAAGCTGAGTACCCAGAGAGAACCCACACAGACACAGGGAGAACATTAAAACTCCACACAGAAATGTGTTTATTCAAAGATGGTGGGGATGGGGGAGCTGCTCAGAGCTCTATCGTTTTAAAATGCTGAAATATTCACTGTCCAGTGTTAAACATTACTCACATAAACTTCCACCCCTCATTCAGATGCATTCTCAGGAGTTTCCAACATCTTTAGTTTCTGGGGAGAGAGCCGAGGGGGTGCTCAGTACCAGGAGGTCCCCAGTTGCAGCCCTGCCCCCCCTCCACCCCTCAACACCCCACTGCACAGCATGAGTCGCCAGCAACGGAACCAGCTGGACTCCCGTCTGGACCTGCTCCAGAAGCAGCTCAACAGGTGCTGGGGGGCTCTGGGTTTGTGGGTCTACTGTGGTTTGGGACTGCTGACTTGTGTGGAGAAAACTAATTGATACAACTAACATTTACAGTAAATAAGAGGAGATCTAATCAAAAACTCACCCGTATTTACTGGTGCTCATTCAATAATGAGAAAAAGTTGGTATTCAAAGTCCTGGAGCAAGGTTTGATAGTCAGACAGCAATACTTGAACCAGGTGGAAAAGGATGGAATGGATGAGAGTAAAAGCCCAGAGTCTGGACACTGGGATTATTTTAAAGCTCCATCATGGACAAGTAAAGAAAGCAAAGCTGGAAAAGTGGTAGGATGTAAGACACATAGTAAGCAGAAAGAGCACAAATGTGATTTAAACAGGACAGAAAGAGACTGATTGGCTGGTTGAGGAAGGAAACAGGAAGCCCACTGGACTAAATCTGTGATGTCATAATTGATGTGGCTGGTGGGACAGCATGAGACAGAGATGGTCAGAAGGAGTGGAAAAGCCAAAGATCACATTAAGTGTACTGAACTTTCACCAAAGCATTTTAATAAGAGCAACGCAAGCAAAACAACATATAAAGCACTAAAAGGCCGGCCTGAAGGAAAGCAGCCCTGACTGTCAGAGCTCCTGTTGTCATCCTAGCTGCAGCACTAACGGAGCTGGCGTTGTGCCCCCCTGTGTGCAGGCTGGAGAGCCGCATGTCAGCAGACATCGGGGTGATCATGCAGCTGCTGCAGAGGCAGATGGCGCTGGTTCCTCCGGCCTACAGCGCCATTTCATCCCCACCTCAGGTAACGCGCACCAGGTCCACCGACGCCTGCACAACAGAGGGCTCTGTGGTTGCTTACCAACAGGCTTCATGGACAGAGCACCACACTGTGTGGAGCCCTGCCAGTTTATCAGTCCCACGCTAATGAATGCTGCAGTGTGAGCTCACCAACAGGGCCATGACAACTATTTAGTGCAACTTGCTCTCTAACATGTGCTTGATTCTCTAGTGTTCTTGTGAGTCACTTTGGACAAAGTGTCTGTTAAATGCTTAACAGTAAATGCTTCCTCTGCAGCCCTCCCCCTACCCTGGACCCGGTACAGGGGACAGAACGGCTCCGGCTGTCACACCTCTGGAGACAGAGGCCGTGGCCTCCTTATCCCAGGTGAAGATTGTGTTGGCAGAATAACACCTGATGACCTCATCTGGCCTCTGTCAGACAGCACTGCACTCATTTTGTATACATTTAATCGTTTTTAGTCATAGAGAAGAAGCAACCACTCCCTCTGAACTGTAAAATGTTTCCCAGCAGATCTTGGAGTCCCAGGACTTTGAAGAGTTTCCAGCCAAACCACCCGATTCCCTGCAGCTCCAGGACTCCTCTCTGCTCGGCGCCAGCCAGGACCAGTTTAGATTCTCCAAACTGGACGGCCTGGGCCAGCATGAGGAGTTGGGGCTGGGTCTTGACACAAGGGCTGGAGTTATAGGGCCAGTTTTAGAATGCAGGAATGGGGCAGAGGCAGAGCCAAATCTGGAGGCAGGGTTGGACTTTGTAACAGGTGAGAACAGCGGGGCTGGGTCTGGGCCTGCTGCTGCTGGGACAGAAAGACCCCCTGCAGATCATTGTGTTCAAAGGAGGCTGTCCCTTCAAGAGCCACGAGCTCCTCTGGATTCATGGACCCCACAGCGACACAGCTCCGACCCAGGGGGAAGCTAAAGAAGAGGAGTCACAGAGGAGACGGAGGAGAGCGGGATGGAGAGAGGTGCTCCATCCCGCTCTCCTCCTGTTTCCACCTCTCATCACCACACTTTGCAGGCACCTGCTGGATCTAGCACCTGAAGCCCTGGGCACACTCAGCTACTGCATCGTCACCGTCAGCCGGCTCAGGGTCAGGGGAAGGTTTGCGGTCTCATCATGGCTTTCTGAGCTCAGCAGCAGCACAACCTTTAACCAAAACCACATCCAGAGGAGTCGGCTGTGCCCCAGAGCGCACACAGACCGCTCTGCTGCCCGTCACCCACGGAGGAGGACTTCTTGACACTCACATGTACACAACTGCTAATTTGTAGAAGAATCCCTTTACTGCTGTACCCAGGATAGAGCGAGGAAACTCATCACTGGACAGAAAAATGATGAAACAAGTAGCCATTCACGTGTTGCACTGAAACCTAGTGATTATTCTAAAATCCATGGAGCTTCCTATAAACTCACTGACTGGTTGATAAATTGTAATGTTAGCTGGCCTAACAGGAGTCCTGCTGTCTTGTTCTGTTCTGGCCCCTTCCCTTTGCCGTCCTGCCCTCAGAGGGGGAGCTAATGCTCTGCTCTTCCAAAAGCACACTAGACTGGCTGACCTGCATCTCTGATGTGGGAGCTGGAGGGTTAAAAGCCATGACTTTTCTTAGTAAGTGTATCAGCCACCCTATCAGAAACAGAGTTGCTTGTAACTGGGGAGCATACAGCATGCATAGGCAGTGTTGCTAAAAGGTAAACTGGCAAACTTACAAGTTTCCTGTGAGAGCAGTCCGAACCAGGCCAGAAGAGAAGCAATCCAACCCAGTTAGTCCAGAGAGAAGCTGCAAGGTAGTTTGATCATCAGTCTGATCAACAGGGGTTTCCAACATCAATCAAAGCTCATGCATTTCGTAACCACACTGAGGGATTGTAATTTATCCCGTTGAATTTGCTACCTCAGATTTCATTGGTTTTTACTTTTTCCACCTGAGCCGGCATCCAGAATGCTTTAGTGCAGAACTCGTCATGTGACACATAGATAAACAAGTTTGCCAGTTTACAATGACCAGCCGAATGCACCATCGTTATATGTACAGTACAATATGCAAACACTGGTTTGAAGACATGAGTGTGCTTTATCCTGACGTGTGTTGTGTTCAGGCCCAGTGTTCCCTCTGACTGTGTTTGTCTGTGTTTTTAGCTGGAGCCTATCCCTGCTTTGTTTCATTCACAGCTAAATATTTGGCAATAGTTTAGTTTCAAAGACTAAAGGAAATGAGCCCAACATCTCCAGATTATCATCTCTGATCCAAAATTCCTCTGAGATGACTTCCTGCTTCATACTGAAGATTCAGAGCAAAGAGGAGGGCAGAGTCTGTGGCTGAAGTGCAATTGTCCTTTAAGCAGTGAACACCTGTAGCAGCTCCACACCGTCCATACCAGTGTGGTACTTCATGTAACTGAAACAGTGCACGCGTCTAAAGAAGACTCAGGAATGTGTCCCATTCTTTCTCACATCAGCTGATCAGACAGAAGCAAACCTGGAGCACACCACACCGGCAGAGCTGGACTTTGGTAGAATCTCCCTTTAATGAAGATTTGTGAAGATTGTATTGAGTTGGTTGTGCGTTAACTTATTTAATTTATTTTGCAGGTTTTCTTTTGTTTCGCTAAAAGGATTTGTTGCCTGGTTGGATGCGGCATGAGATGGTCAGTGATGTTCATATCTGCCCCTGGTCCTCTCTCTGACCGATGAGGCACACACACACAGTTATTCTCTATATTCAATATTTATTACAAGACAATTGTGAGCAGTACAGATTCCTCCTATTCTTCTACTTATTGTTAGTATGTCATTGTTGAATACCAAATGGCACTTGTTGATGGGACTGTGAAGCTGTGTGTGTGCAGGTCACATTTTACCGGTTTGCACTTTCATGTTGAACCAAAGCAAGTGACCACTGGAACAAAGCTCTGTGGGGGCATTTTACACTCCGACAGTGAGGTGAAACAGGATGTGGTGGATGGAGAAAGATGGACTGTATGTGTGAGGTGCAGAGATCAGGATTATTGGGGACATCTGAACCCAGAGAAAGACTGCTGGTTTGTACACTGTTAAAAGTGGGGAGTGAAAGTTGCCAGAATCTCAGTTTTCTCCAGAGAAATGTGTCACGGTTGTCCAAAGCTGTTAAGCTGGCATTGTCCAAAACTTTGGATCCCACAGAAGGAAGTGCTTTCCTTGGCTGACATACCCCCCACCATCGGCTCTTTTCCACACAGACTCCTGGGGACACGGGGGGCCTCACGTTACCTGCCCTTACCTGAAATCCTTTTTAAACAGAGGCACTGCTTCTCAGTCCTGTCTGGCCTCATCGGCTCACCTACTGTAGCTTGTGTTTGTTAGTGTTCAGTAATAGTCACCTAGTGGCCTGAACTGTGTCTTTTCATTCCGAACCGTGACCTCAGAACTGGGACGAGGTTGTTGAACACTTACTAAACCTTGTGTGTGTCATTAGTTAGATAATTCAGTTGCAGGAATGCATACTGCAAATGATCAAAACAGACAAACAATCAGCTTCCAGGTGGAGAGATCTTCTGTTTATGGGTGGGGAGTGTGTTTTCCTAGTCATAACACCTAAGACACACACACACCTCCCTGAAAGGCTCTTCCATTCACAGAGCTCTGCCAGGCTCTGTGGGGCTCAGACAGATTCAGCTTCTGTCTTTGTACATATTCTGAGGACCTAGACAGGGCTTTTGGTTCCGTTTACACACCACCTGACCCACTCTGTTTCTCCTTGTCTGTACATACAAACCTCTACTATTTGTTAAGGGATCTGACTCCTTGGCACTCATATAGCCAGCACTATGCAGAGACTGAAAAAAGACACGTCTTTGGCATGCTTTGAATTGCAGAATATCATAGAAAAAAATACTGAAAAAAAGGTCTGCTCTAATTTCTTATCAGAATGATCAGATTGTTGAAAATAAAGCTGTCATGGCGATGAGGGGGACTACAAGTGAGAGTGATGAAGCTGAAGACTTTTCCTTTTGTGCACCTTTTTACTTGCATGCTGCACTGAGAATCCTCCAGAAAAGGTGAGGGTTTGATCTGCGACGCACTGATTTCAGCTGTATGCTATCAGACTGTGTAGAATGAAACAATGAATTCTTCCAGATTGTCGAAAGTCATATTTATATTTCCGTATATACATATATTGATATATACATACTTCTTCCAGGTCATGGAAGAGAGGGTTACTGAATAGCTGGAAACATAGTGATTTTAGAAGTTAGAAGACGATACTGTCTATTTGTATCTTTGTCTGTGAAGCGATGTAAGTGAGGGGCGACGCTACACACAACCTGTACCAACACGTCTCACTGAAAAGGTCCAGTGGTGCCACACGTCACACAGGGACTCCTCACTAAAGAAAATGGGTTTTTGATACACCCCGTGGCAGCCCTGAGTTAGGCCGGGCTGCTCTGAGGAGGCTGATGGGGAGAACTGTAGGACGGGAACTCCAGGTTCTGAGGGTCAGATAGCATTTTCAATGGTTGAACTTTCTAAGATTTCAAAACTTTTCTTTCAATAAACCTGTTTGAAAGTAACATCCCGGGCTGGTCTCTGTCACACTAAGTGGGACTTTAAGACACTGCACCGGGGGGGGGGGGGTCACTGCTTATGGCACCTGGTGATGACTTGCCGCCTGGATGTGTGGGACTCAGATCTATCTGACAGGTTCTTCCCCCACAGCAGACTGAGTCATGGACTTCTTCAGGCCTCCGTCCTTGGACTGGTTCTTTTCACATTATACCTGCTTCCATAAGCTAACCTGAGAGCTTTCCACTGTCACGCTGATGATACTCAGTTATAGCTGTCCAGGAAACCGGACCGGACGGGTCAGCTGGTCCAGCATGAAGAGCTGGATGACTGGATCAATGTTCTTCCTCTAAATTCAGTTTCTTCCTTGGATTTGAAAACATCAGTGAGGAACTGTTTTGTAACATAGTCTCATAATAACATAAATAAAATATATCTTATAATATACTTATTATATACTCTGTCTCTCATGGGGCTCCCATGATGCACCTCTCCTCCCCTCTATAGATCAAACTAAATCAAATAAGTCCTAAACTGGGGAACCCCCTGCTAGTCCTAACCCACCACACAGTCTCATTCATGCCGGGAAAAGCAGCAGCTGTCAAGAGGCCACCCCCAACAGCCAGTGCGCGTACGCTGGCACGCGCACGCTGGCACGCGCCCGGTAGCCTGACACTGATGTCAGCCGTTCTGCGCACTAGAGGTCGCTGCGCGCTCACGGTCAGACTGGGGGGACTTTTTTTTTTCTTTTTCCTTCTTTATCATTTTAAAATACATGAAGGTACCAATCAAATATCACAATGAACATTTTTATAAGAATGGGCGATGTATAATAAACGTATAAAGTAAAATCCAAGGTAAAATCCAATGACAGAAAAAAAAAAATCATAATAATAACAAAAAAAACTATAATCATTATGGAAAGCACATTATAAGTAAAATAAAATAGGAAGGGCATTAATCAATAAAATTGAATTTAATCAGAAAATAATTAAATTAGCTAGCATTCTATTCTATTATTAGGTTTATGAATTTTGCATAAGATTTCAGCTCATTTTTCCAGTGAGATATATTGGGCATACACCTAAGGAAACAATATTTAATATCGTCTTCCTTAAAAACTTTGAGAAGACTGGGGGGACTAGGACTGGGGGGACCGGGGCTGGGGGGACCGGGACCGGGGGGACCGGGACCGGGGGGACATTCCTCTGGGTGGAGTCGTGGCGGTGAATAAGTTGCGGCGCGACAGTGGGCAGCAGGAAGCTGTGACGTCATATGGAGGGGACCGCGCAGTCAGCAGGCTTTTCCAGTCCAGCCGAACCCAGGCCCGCTTTACTCTGCGCATAACCCAGACACGAGCACCCGCACCCGCACGTTTGGCAGCCAAATCAGTTCGGCCCGCTTCGGCCCACTTCGGCCCGGGACATTCCAGCGTCAGGGCGGTGTAAGGGCGTCTTCCTGGGCCGTGGCCGCTTCCCCCGGCGGTTCCTCCCGCCGATTGGACCGGCCCCGTCCCGTAAAAGGAGTCAAAGTTCTCCATTGTGTGGCCGGGATGTCCGTCAAAAGTGCACTCAATGACAAGGACGAGTCTGTCCAAGGTTCAGGAGCTAAGATTGGCCAACAGGGCTGTCACTCACTTTCTATCTGAGGTCTGATTGGCTGGAGCGAGCGGCACTCAGTGACACCCGCGTTGATAGGCCGGGGGCTCTTCCGGGGGCGGGGCGGCCGGGCGGCGGAGCGCAGAGTGCACTCTGCTGTGGGCGGATCGAGGCTGTGACAGCGACGTTCGGAGTCTCTCTACAAAGTGTCAGAAAACACATCTAACGGTGAGTCCAGCCCCAACGTGAAGGGCCTGCTTTACTCCGCGCGTGTTGGCGCGCGCGCCGCGTGCACCGAGTCGCGGCAGCTCCGTTCTGAGGTGCAGTGAGATGACGCTGATTTTGGATGAGTGATCTCAGAGCGTGCATCACAGGACGGTGGATGGGTGGAGGGTGGTGCTGCCTTCATGTGCTCCCGGAAACCCTACAAGCAGTCCCGGTGTGAAATACCACCGAAGAAGTCCCTGCTGTTGATGAGTCAACATCTAACCCTAACCACCGACTCTGGTGTTCTGACCTTTACGAGGGAAACGTTTCTGTAGCCGTCATCCGGCAAAAAGGAAGCTTTCCCCTGAGAGACCGCGGTGTCGGAGGGCAGCGGAGGCACCACGGTGAAGTTTCTCTGTCCCACAGCAAAGTTATGCAAGATGACCCCTGTCTGTGTGTCTGTCTGTGTATCTGTTTGTGTGTGTGTCTGTCTGTGTATCTGTTTGCGTGTGTTTGTGTGTGTGTGTGTGTGTGTGTGTGTGTGTGTGTCTGTGTGGCCGTTGGGTAGAGCTCACATCATTGAACCTGCTGTCAGCTGGTACCAGCCCTTTCTGCCTGGTGCTTTGGGTTTTTGGGGTCTTTTGGGTGCTACAGTCTGATGTTATTACAGCAGTGTGAACAATCCCATTTAAATCTCTTCCAGGGTGATCGTGATGGCCCAGTTATCGGATTGGTTTCAGTGAAATCAACTTTGTTATCATCTTTTATTTGGACCCTATGTTGAAACCATCTTAACTCATTCAGCTTTAATAATTGATGAGAGATGATGAGAGTGCATGAATGTGAAAAGATTTTTTTCTTTTCTAAGTGCCCCCTAAAGGCTTGGATATCCTGCCCCCGTGTGTGTGTGTGTGTGTGTGTGTGTGTGTGGGTGGCACCGGCTACCTTCCCTTACTGTGTTCTTACTGTCAGCCTCAGATAGGAGGCAGATTCGTTCCTCCTCCCTGCTTCCCATCCTCACTCCTGCTCTCCAGATTACTCCCAAATCCTCCACCAGGCAGATTACTGAGTGGGAAGTAGGAGGAAGGGCTGATCCAGGGCCCTGAATTCATTATGGACGTGTTCCAGTGACATCCCTGAAACGTTTCAGGCGGGCAGCCCAGAGCAGAGCCGGGGTCAGGATTTGGCCCGGCGGGTTCACACTTACATGCAGGTTACTGACATGCTCATCCAACTGAGTGTGTGTGTGCTAATCCAGGATGAGGCGCCTCCACCCGTCCCGCTGGCCGTCCAGCTGCTGCGCTGGGTCACCTGGTGCCAGGCACAGGTGAAGAAGTGGACAGTTCAGTTTAACTGGAAGTCCTGGTTCCTGGTGATTGCTGGCTGTTTGTTGCTTTTTGACCCAGCTCTGTAACAGTGAGCCATTAGCTGCACATGCACTGTGGCTCAGAGGCTCAGCGCTGCTTCACTTTGGTCTTTTCATGCAGAGCTCTGGCTGAGGAGGGGGCCTGGTTCACTGCACTGGACCCTACAAAGCTGATTCAAGCACAGACACCAGCAGGGTTTCTGGAGCTGAATGCAGCAGAACCTCCTCTGAGAATGTTTGGACAGCACCTGGACTGTCACTGTCCTGAGTGGGTTTCAGATATCAGCTTGAAGTCTGATTGTGTGTGACCATAGGACAAGAGGAAGGAAGAGAAGGAAGGAAAGGAGGAAGTATTTGCACAAACAAGCAGGATCGTTAAGTTACAAAGTACACAGATCTGGAATAGTTCCCAAGCTGTGGAATGTCAATTGACTGAGCTCAGGAGTCACTGACTCATCTCATTGTCCTGCAGCCTGGTGCTACCTGCCCAGGGACTGGCGCTCTCCCCCTACAGACTGCATCTGTAGGTGATTTGGATATTTTGCACCTGAGTGAAATTGTCTGCTGAAGCCTTTTGGGAGCTTTCAGTTCAGGAAGCATCCAGTGCAGAGGTGTGGCTCTGGATCCGGGCCCACGGCCGTCCTGCCTACAGCAGGCTGCTCATCCAGGAGGTCCAGCCTCCATTTGTTTCAACCTGCCTCACAGTGCCCGTTCACTTGGTTTAGTTCTTTTAGAACTGAATGAACTGAATATGAATTAATTATACTTGTTTTACAATAAGCTAGAGTCTTTTTTGGATGCGGTGCCTAACAGCAGAGGGTTCCCGCTTCGAGTTCCCGGGGAACCAGGACCTTTCAGTGTGGACTGCATGTCTCTCTGGGTCTGTGTGGTTTTCTCTGTGTCCGTTGGGTGTTTTCTGTCTTCCTCCCACCTGCACGTTCCAAAATCCTGCATGTCAGGTTAACTGGACATGGCCCAGAGGAGTAAATGTGTGTGGTTGTGTGTCTCTGTGTGGCCCTGTGATGGACCAGTGACATGTCCAGGGTGGACCCGCCTCTCACCCAGCGGGCCAGCCCCCCCTGTGACTCTATAAGCATTTCTGTGTGACCAGTGGTACCAGTGGTGTTGGTACCTGTGCTGGTGTCTGTGGTACTGGTGTCTGTGCTGGTACCAGTGGTGCTGGTACCTGTGGTGTGTCTGTGCTGGTGTCTGTGGTACTGGTGTCTGTGCTGGTACCAGTGGTACTGGTGTCTGTGCTGGTGTCTGTGCTGGTACTGTGGGTCTCTCTGGCCGTCTGTAACCCAGATGAGTGAGGGGGGGGATCAGGGCGGTGGAGCTGCTTAATCTCCAGGGTTTGGGCGGTGTGGGCTCGTGTGTGTCACTGTGCTGCTGCCTTTTCCAGACTGTGCTGCTCCACCAGCTTCCACCTGGGAATCTGCTCCTCCCCTCCATCATTTGGTGGTTTCAGCTGAGTGTGTCTGACCCAGGAGCCACGGGGGGGTAGGGGTGGATGTGCTCATGCTTCCCCACAGGCGGGGGGCGGAGTCTGAGGCTGCGTGACAGCGGCGGATTGAATGGATGAGGGCAGAGAGCAGGGCTGGGTGTAATCCCCTCCCAGCAGCAGCTGGCCGCTGTGTCGGGGGGGAGGTTCACCCCCCCCCCCCCCCCCCCCCAGGCTGAGCTCACACACCTGGAGGGGAGCAGAGGACAGTGGCACCTGGCTGTTAGTGAGCCTGTCCAGCCAGGCCACAGTGACCCGTCACCTCTGGGTTCACACAGAGGGAGGGGGCAGCCCGTGGTCCTCCACTGCCCCTCAGCTCTTACAGTTCTTACTGTTTTCTGGGCTCTGGGAAGGACTGGACATGGCCAAGTCCAACCTGAGTGGCCAGAGAGAGGACAGCAGAGCCTCTGGGACATTCAGGAAAGCTCTGAGCTGAGGATGAGTCAGCAGTCAGAGCCCAAACCCCCACTGGCTGTGTAGGGGCATGTTTAAAAGGTTCTAATGGACTGATGTGTAGCTGATAACAGAGTATTCAGCATCGAGCTGCAGGCTGCAGGAAGGACAGGAACTCCTGAACGCCGGCTCTCAAAAGCCCAGTTTGGTGAACAGGAGTCAGCACAATGACACCGTTCCCTCCCGTCCAGGGTCACCCCCCCGTTTCCCAGGTTGTGGCAACTTAATGGTCTCATTTTAGATGACCTGACTCATTCCCATCAGTTGGCTGCTGTCCAGATAAAGATGCTGAGATAAAGATGAGAGTTTCAGGAGAGCGGGTTCAGATCCCCACACACGGGGGGAGACGTTCTCCATGCTGCAGAGCCCTCAGAAGAGGCCGTTTAAAGATTAACGCTTAAGAATAAAAGGTAAGGCAGCAGCAGGCGGGAATGTGAGGAATGTGGAGTCAGCGTGACGGGCCAGAGAAAACTTTCTGTGGCGTGCAGCTGTGTGTGTTGCTCCAGCGGAGGAGGCTGCTGTGTGTACACACACTAGTGAATGCCGTCAGTAAAGCCCTGCTCCTGCTGGAGTGTGTGTCCACAGCCAGTGTCTGTGTGGGGATTAGACCGTGACCTCGGTGTGTGTGTGTGTCTGTCCTGCTTTGCATTCCATTGCAATGTGTAAAGGCTCTGACCACAACAATAGGGTAGAGGGTTTCTGTGTGTGTGTGTGTGTGTAACATCCAGAGAACCCATTCAGTCTCGGCTGGCCTGTTGGCGCTCTAAAGGGGGGGGGCATGATGTGGGGTGTGGACATCACTACCTGTGTGTGTGTGTGTGTGCTCTGATATTCACTTAATGGGTTCCAGAAAGTGCCTGATTATAAAAGCATGTCCGGAGCGTCCTGTGTAATTCTGTTACACACACGCACCCCCGTCCACAAACACTACCTCTTTCACTTAGCTCTCAAACGTCCCACTGTGAGCGGCGCCCCCCCGTCAGCCCTACACACACGGCTCACACATGAACCTGAGCAGCAGCTCTGGGACGGAGGCTAGCCAAACGGATCCTGACTACTTCTGCTGGTAGTCACCACTTTAAGCTGTTTAACATTCACAAAAGCACCGTGAGCATCGGACAGGGTCAGTAATCCCTCTGCCTGCCACTCTCTGCGCCGTTAGCCTCACAGCCTCTGACGTAGATGTCCTCGCTAACGTGGGCGCCACGCTGCTTCTCATTGGCTGGGGAACCTTCTGTCTCCAGGTGAGACGCTGCCACACCCACAGAGGCCGTGTTTGCTACTATGACCCCAACTAACAGCTGGAATCGGTTCTGTCCAACCACAGGCAAGCTGTGTTTGAGGCCACTGTCTGAATCCTGTAATTAAGCCTTTCAAATGTCAGGTTGCTGTTACCTCACCATAGAGTAGTTATCCAGCCCCCCCACCTCCGTCTGCACATCATCCTGCTGTCTTTTTCTGTTTGTCAGGATCCATCAAAATCCTACCTGTGTAGTAAACCAAATGAGCAAGTAGGAACAGTAATGCGAGTGTCTCGTTAGTGTTTGTTGTCCTGGTCATTTTGATCAGAGGGAGCCCCTTTGATCAAAATGTGGTCTGTTTTTCACTCTGTCAAACAGTGTCAAACCCTGATAACAAAACCATGCGCAGATAGATAAAAACACACCACAAATCTGGCTCACAAACTAAAGCAGATCTTTTTCCCGTCACACCCAGTCCAGGGACTTCCTGCAGACCGGCGGCCCTCCTGCCCTCATCTCTGTCATCTCAGGCCTGCTAGTTGCAGAGCCTGATGGAGGACATACCTCCAGCTCCTTACACACACTCTGGGTGTGTCTGGGAACGTGTGGAGAGGCATCTGAGCCCGTCCCGCTGATGTGCCACGCCCCCCCTGTGGGCCATGCATGCATTCAGGTCTTGGGGAGAGGTTGTGCTCTTCTTTCTTTCTTTCTTTCTTGCAGGTTGCACAGCTTCCTCTAAAAAGTACCACAGCCAGATGTGTGCTCATCTGCTGTGTGAGGATGATGAGGGTCAGGTCCAGTGGGGGGGTGTAGCTCACAGCGTGTGTGTGTGTGTCAGGTTAAGGACAGCATCTGGAGCCAGATGTTGAAGTAGTGCAGGTTTTACCGCCTGTTCCTGACCAGAGCACACAGCGTTTTACAGAACAGCGTTTGATTTGGGGGTCCCGGGGGGCCCCCCCCCCCCCACCCACCGGGCGGCTTCATGAATCCGGCTGCTGCGGGTTGTTGTGGTACAGTGGGGGTCCTTAGATGGTGCATCCCTCTGCAGCTCCAGCCGAGTCCCACTCCACAGGATCACTAGTCACACATGACTCTAGTTCATATTTACGGATAACCTTCCAATTTTGATTGGCTGTGAGCTAAGCTTGTCCCGATCCAATATTTGGATCGGGATCGGCCACCGATATTTACAAAAAAATGCCAGTCCACTCTCCTGATCCATTTTTTCCTCTACCAACCAGTGCGTGTTATTCAGACTCCCCCAGTTCAGCTGGCTAGTTGTTATCAGAGTAAATCCCTTTTCAACATGAGTCTGACAACTAAGTAAGTAGGCTAAATAATACATGCTCTGATAGGCTGGTATCGGAAGTGCAAAAAGCTGGACCGGGACATCCCCAGAGTGCGAGCACAGAGCTGCAAACTTCCTTCCACAACCACGCCCCAGGATCCCCTGAGGCCTCCACCTTTTTCTAGGGCTGTATAAAGCATTTTGATTTAGAACCATCCATAGTTTCAGCCGTTGACATTAAAGGGGCAAAAAGAGCCCGCGGATGGCTCTTTAATCAGTAGTTGTTGAAGGTGTGATTCTAAAAGTCACTGTTTTTATTTGATGCTCTGGAATAGAAAATCCTTTTAGTGTGTGTGTAAACAGCGTTTGGCGGCACAGCTGCAGCCGCGTGTCCAGAACCTCCCGTATGTCATCTGAAGCCAGGGCTCGTGAAAGTCCCCCGTCAGCTGTCTGCGTTTGTCAGATGAAACACAGAAGTGTGGCAGCAGGATAACCAGAGAAAAGGGAAACGGCTCCGGCCCACTCACGGGCTGGCGTCTTATTGTGGGCCGGGAGGAGCCAGAGCTTCCGGGGTTTTCTGAGGTCAGGCTGCAGCTAGAGCTGATTTACTCTGTTTCAGCGGCGTGATTTGTTCCAGCTGCCTCAGTCTTCAGAGGGAAACTGGAGCTAGCGGTTAGCTCGGTTCACATTAGCCACTCTCAGTCCACACCCACTCTCCTGCAGGCCAGGCGTTGAGAGGAAGTGCCTCACCTCTCTGAGGGTGACATCACACCGCCACAGCAGGCGCTGTGAGTTCTCCTCTAACTAATGTGTGTCATCATATTTCAATAGCCAAGTTTCCCTATGACGAAGCCACTGGGCTGGAACATGCTGTGTGACCAGAGGAGGGTTTCTGCTCTCCTCTCATTTAAGACGGATCTTTTGTGTGTGTGAGCGATGTGCAGCATGTTGGGAGCTAAACTTAGATTCTGCATGTGCGCAGTCTGTCTTTGTTTAATCCATGCACAGAGGACAATAACCTGTTGTGGATTTTCTGTAGGACTCTGCAGTCATTTGAGTCTCAGGTTTACTTTCTTAGCTTCTCATTTCCCTACTACATGTGCTACATTTGGCGCATAGCGCTATAGCACAGAAAAGGAAGAAATGCCGGTAGCCAGAAAGACGAGCATTTCTGTAGTCGGCTCCTCTGGACTCAGACTCAGTGCTCAGTCCAGTCCAGTAAGTCCTGGCAGTGATCTCTGAGGCCCTGAGCTCCTGGTTCCCCTCCGGCCTGGTCCTGAACACACTGGTCCCCGCTGTGCTAATGCCGGGGTATTAGACTGCAGCAGTTGTTTTTCGGCCACCGTGTCCTCTGCAGAGTTAGCGTTACACACTGTATGCTGACTCCAGAATAGGGGGCTGTGGCCAGATCTGCTGTTCCCGGCTACAGTTCAGCGCCTGTGGGCGCACAGCTCTGCGGGGAGGACATGTCACACCGTGTGCCGAGGCCAGGAGGAAAACCCTTCTCCCACCTCCTACGCACACACAGCCAGACTCCAGCTCTGGGTCTGCTGAACAGCTCCTTCAGATCAGAGCCACTGGAACCAAAACCTGAAGCAGAATGGCAAGATTGGCCAAAAAGCCCAAACAATGTCCATTCCTTTCCTTTTTTGTGGCTCATTGGTCTCTCCTCTGTTGTGGTGGCCACACACACACACACACACACGGTGGCGTATGATACAAACACACACAGCACTTTCCACAGGCGATTCTCTGGGGTTTTCCTTCCTATGTAGAAATCCGATCGTTTCCAAGCAGTTGTGTTTTGCAGGAGGAGGAAACCTGAGCTGAAACTCAGATAACCTGACTAATCACATACTGTTGCCCCCACTGGACCCCAGCCTAAGGCCCTCTCCAGCAGGCCCCCCAGCAGCCACGGCGGGCGGAGGTGGGCCTAAAAGCCCTGCCTGGTGGAGGCAGCCGTCCCCCGGTGGCTCAACCCCCGGTGGCCCCCCCCGGCTGAGGTCGCTGGTGGGTTTGTCTGCTCGTGGTGCAGCCTCTGTGTGTCTGGGATGTGACCCCCCAGCACCAGAGCTCCTCTGGGGGGGTGTATGCCTTAGGCGTGTGTGTGCTTTGGGCAAATGAGCACAGTGGTGTGCTGAAGTGTTGGGTGAGGGTTAGGGTTAGGCAGGCGTAAGAGCAGATCATCCAGCAGGGGGCGCCATCGGCCTGGATGTGTGCCGCTGCCCCCAGTCTCCACATGCGCGCTGGAGTCTGGATGTCTGTGTGTGTATAAGTGGTGTATATGTGTGTTTAAATGTGTATATGTGTGTTTAAATGTTTGTGTAAATCAGCTGCTACATTTTTGGCATGAAACACTTATTAGTCAGAATTGGGATCAAACTGTTCCACAGTTGAATTATTCCAGTCACTGTTGCATCTGAAAGGAAGAGCCACAGAGATGCTTTTAATGGTTTTAAGCCGCCTGGTCATCCATGGTCATGAATAAGTGTAGAATGCTGCTTTTTACCCTCAGGGGGCCCTGGAACTCTCCCTGGGCCAGCTGGACTGAGCGGCTGGCCTTTGATGACGGGGACAGTCCACTTTTACAGCTGTGTTTCTGTCCTTTTGCAGACATGGCAGACCTGGATCTGAGTCTGAGCGACGCGCTCACAGACAGCGTTCCCCAGCCGGGCCCGGAAGGCCCCGTGGAGCGGGACTTTGTGGCTCAGCTGGAGGCGGAGACCTTTGACGATCAGGTCAAGGAGAGTGTTGGAAAGACGGACTACATCCCCCTGCTGGACAATGACGACACAAAAACAGGTGAGAAAAGACATGAGAGATGTGTATGAATATTCTGACAACAATAGCAGCACGAGGAAGGAGGAGAAGAGGCGCCTATGCCAGCTGTTACTGGGGGGGGGGGTTGGGTTGTTCCTGCTGATGTCAGGCAGCAGTGTAAATGCGAACAGAACCACTGTGTGGTGAAATTATATGTGATCTTGAACCTGAGAAAATGTCTTTTGCGACTTGAGCCGCAGCTGCTCTTAAATGACTTTGGCGCGGCTTGATTCCGGCTGCCATTTTGGATCTGCTGGGGTGTCATTCAGCTGGACGGACAACAGTGGCTTGAAGACACACAGAGTAGCGGTCACAGCCTTGAGTTCCCCAGCTGTGTGTGGAAATGTCCCCCCCCTGCTGCTCAGCTCTGGTTGTGCCGGGGTAATCCATCTGAGTGGTGGGTCCAGGTCCGGCTTCAAGACGTTTGTTAAAGTGGTACCATGAGGAAAGCTCTCATATGGCATGGCTCGGGGGGAATTGTGTGATTATGCAAATGAGCCCCACCCCTGCCCCGCGTCCTGGCACCTCCTCAGACCTCCTTATGCCGAGCCATGTGAAGAGCAACCAGACCTCTGCCAGAGGACAGTCCTCCACGGGCACTTTCACGAAAACGCATCAGAAAAATGGACTTGGGGGACATGGTGTGTCACGGATTAAAAACAATGTAACAGGACACTGAGAGTGGGGAAAAAAGGATGTTACCTCCAGTATTGTTTCCCATTAGTGTTTAAAGTCTGTGTCATCTGACTGTAATAGAAACGGGATGGGACATCAACGTGAGGGTTAATGTACCTTGCAGCACAGTGTTGCTAAGGTGGGCACTGAAAGACTCTGAAAAGAAAGTTTGTAGAGGGATGGAGGAAGCGGATGAGTGAAGGGGCAGATGAGAGGAAGTGACAGTGGACTGGGATGGCTCAGCTCTCAGGCCTGTTTGTGGGTCCCAGACACTGGTCAGACGGGGGCCTGTGTGGGCCCGTCAGTCTGCCTGCTGCAGGACGTGCTGGGGGGGGGGATCAGCAGTGCATTTGGACAAACACAGACATGCTGACACGCAGAGTGCCAAACAGCAGGCTGAGCAGTCCGCCAGTCATTGTCCTCTGAGCCGAGAGTGAGCGGACGGCCTCTAAACAGGCGTCCGGCCCCTCGGGCTCCATGAGTCCGCTCACACTGGTCCTCTGGTTGTTTGTGGCGTTTGTGTGATCTTCCGTCTGCTGCTCACTCAGTTCTGATGGGTCGATACGGGTCAGCCACGCCGTGCATGTGTTCGTTAGGTCTTACAGGCAATCACTGCAGTTTGAGGTAAAAGCTCATCAGGCTGTGGTTCCCAGTAGACTGTGGGCCCAGCATTCAGAGGACGGTGTGGGAGCTCAGGGGTCCACTCTGTGCTTCAGCCTCACATTAATGCTGCCGCCTGGTGTCTGTGTGTGTGCGATTGTGTGTGCAGATGCTGCTTCTACATTGGAGAATGGAGAGCAGGAAGCGCATGGGGTGCAAAAACCTGGTAAGCTATTCCCACAATTCCTTGTGCTGTTGGTCAGTGTGCAGAAGCTGCCTGGTCATCTCATCACCGGTCATCAGTGTCTCCCTCTGCTCTCTTGTGTATTTTTGTTTTTCACCTCAGTGTTGGTCTGCATGCCGTTGTGTGTCGACACGTGGACACACCTTTTCTTCTTTTTTCCCTCTTTCTTCAATATGTTCAAACTGAGCAGCTCAGCTCAGAGAGCTTGCTTTTGACTCTTTACTGCGAGCCTCTGTGTTCAGTTTGAGTGTGGTCCCACTCATTTCTCTTTCTCAGAGTAGACCTCAACATGCTCAGTATGATTTAGTATCAGTATGATTACAGATCCAAAAGGATGGAAGCATTCCATTGAGATGCGCTGAAGTTTTGTCAAACAAAAGCTCCAGGCTGCTGGTCATCTGGGCTGCTAGCCCAATGACCAGATTTAGAGCCGTTTACCAGTGAGGCTGTGCAGGTCCACCCAGCCCCCCATCCTACACCAGGAGCTAGCTAAAGGTGACTGGTCCTTCAGGTGTCCTGCAGAGGCAGCCAGTGGCTGTGGGTGGTGTGAGTGGGGCCCTGCGTGTCTCAGCACAAAGTGCAGCATGCCTCTATGGGGTCACTTGTTTTTCCAGAATTTGGGCAAACCTTTTCAGACTCCTCAGTCTTTTCTTGGTCCCGTTGTGTTCTTTTCAGGCATGTGGGATTCCCATGGCCTGGATGACTGGTAATCTGTACAGACAGGTTATGTGAGTCAGCGTGACCTTTCTGTCATCTCCAGGAGGCATCCTAAGGTGCGGATGAATAGAACCAGTGCAGAAATGCCAAAAGCTGCAGTTCCATGCCTGGCCGCCTGACAAAGGGAGCCAGGCCTGTGTGTTTGGATTACATGAGAAAACAGATATTGGTTTCTGTGCATAATCATAGTACAAACACTAACATTAACTAAGAGCCAGTACGATAGATAGCCATCATGCTGATGAGTGAAGGCTCCCTTTGTGTGCCCAGATGATCTGCTCTCATATACGAAAAGCCCCAAAGCAGCCTTCAGCCCCTCCCTTCAGTTTAGTCCTAACAACCAGAGCTGCTGTGCACATCTGCACATCTCATACAGAGAATGCTTCAACACACATCCTATGGCTGCACAAAAAAGCGCTAAACGTTCTACAAATTGTTTTACTGTGTTGTTAAGTCTTAGTTAGACAATGGCTTGCAGATGAAGACATCTGTTAAGGAGTGGAAGTTCATCCAAGGTACCTAAAAAAAGCACTGTGTCAGCAGTTTAACTCTGGTTAACCTACAGTCACTTTTCTTCACATCTGCCCAACCCTCCTGCTACAGCTGTAACAGCTGTACGTAGCGGCTACGCCTAAACCTAACCCTATGCCTAAACCTAACCCTACGCCCAACCCCACGCCTAACCCTATGCCTAAACCTAACCCTGCACCTAAACCTAACACTAAACCTAACCATACGCCTAAACCTATGCCTATGCCTCACCCTGTACCTAAACCTAATCCCAAACCTAACCCTATGCCTAAACCCAACCCTAAACCAAACCCTACGCCTAACCCTAAATTTAATCCTAAACCTAACCCTAATCCTAAACCTAATCCACAGCCTAGCCCTACCCCTAACCCTAACCTAACTGCCGTAGTTGTGTTGGAAGTATGAGAAGCACTGTTCCTGTGTGGGACTAGCTTTTACCGGTGATTTGAAACCTCATTATTCCTCGCCGAGGCCTCATCAGAGACTGTGATTGGTCCAGCTAGGTTTGCTCCACTGAGGGAGGCTTATACATCTGTAATGTGTCACTGGCATGTTCTCCACCCACCTGGCATGGCATGAGCAGCTCGTCACCATGGTTACCGGACTGTGTGTGTGTGTGTGTGTGTGTGTGTGTGTGGGACGCTCTGTCTTGGTTCTGGTTCCTGTTCTGTTCCGGTTCGTCTGATGGTGTGGGCTTAGCTGGAACAGGATGAAGTCCTGCTGCTCAGCAGACAGAACATCTGGCCAGCTGTGCTCAGAGGAGAAGCGCTGTAGAGGCAGTACCTGGCTCAGACGGGGGGGGGCGGGGGGGGGGGGGTGCACTGGGCTGCATGCTGCGTCTGCATGGCTGCTGCATGCTGCGTGTCAGCCGCTGCATGGATAGATGGGAAGATTTGCTCTTTGTTTCTGCTGGTGACATCCTTTGTTTTTGGGACAGTTACTAACCTGTTCTCTTCACTTCCCCCCATCCCTCCATCCCATCCCTTTTTCTCTTTCCTTTTTATATTTGTCTTCGCAAATATTTTTTCTTTCTCTCCTGTTTTTTGTTTGGATGGTGCACTCCTCCTTCCTGACTGATTCATTTGATTTATTATTTATTATTATTTTCCCCATCTATCTTATTTCCTCCTCCTAACTGCTTCCATCCCCTTTCATTTGCTTTTCATGTCCCGCATTATTTCTTTTCTCCTTCTCCTCCAACCCAACGCTTCAGAGGACTAGAACCTGTCTCATCTTCCTGGCGACCGTTCCCCGGCTTCTGCTTCTGTACACACCCCCTTCTACAGCGCACACACACACACACACACACACACACACACAGGAGTCCTGACTTCCTCCCGTGCTGCTCCTCCTAAAGTGTTGGCAGCAGTAGCTCTGGATCAGCCTCCCGCTGCCCCTGTCTGCTCTCCTCTTATCTGGGACATCACTGTCCGGTTCTTAAGCCTAGCCTTCCAAACATGAATAACTGTCTCACATGTCTGGGCCCCCCCGTCCCCCCCGTCCCCCCGCCCTCCTTTGACAGTGAGTTCATGAGTTCAGTCCCGGCGCTCAGAGGCTCAGACACAGCCCAGCTCTCCCTCTGTGTGAGGCCTTTCAGAGTGTCCAGCGCCAGAGGGCCGATCTGTCACCACCTCCCACAGACACAAACCCCCCCACACAGACCCACAGACACAAACCCCCCCACAGACGGACACACGCCCCCACAGACAGACCTACACCCCCACAGACCCACAGACAGACCTACACCCCCATAAACAGACCTACACCCCCATAAACAGACCCACGCCCCCACAGACCCACAGACTGACCTACACCCCCACGGACGGACTCTGTTTTCAACATATTTTGGTGCATTTGAAGGCGTTTTAATCCGGGGGTAAATCTTCTGGTTTTTGGGAACATCTGGGAGGATTATGGGTCATCCTGAGGAAGCAGAAAGCTGTCTTTGAGGATTCAGACACACTGACTCTGCTTTTCCTAAACCTGTCTGTGCTGTCCTGATCTGGGCTGCTGCACAGGGGAGAGGTCCCGGGGTTCTGTGATGAGCAGCAGGTTTCCTCTGCTCGATAAGGCCGTGTGTGTGTCTCCGTCCTCTTTCCTGTCGCACACACAGCACTTTTTCTACACACACCTCTGTGATGTCAGCCTGCAGCACATGCTAATAAAAGGATCTATAACACAACTTACCTGGCTTTTGGTTTCTCTCTCTATTAACAAAGCTGTACTAAACCTCTTTTCTTCTTATCGCTGAATGAGTCTCTTGTGCTGCTTGACTTCCTTTCTATTTCTGCCCCTCATACCTTCACATTATTCATTGCATTGTGAGAGATTCTCTCATCTCCATAGCTTTCTATGAAATAATAATCATCCCTGCTGAAGCCTGGGGAGGCAGAGGATGGTGTCTCACAGCTTAAAGCTGAGACCTTTGTGAGCATGGGGGTCGTGAACGCCACCTGCCATAGATGGAGCTCTCTGGTTACAAAGACCTTTTACATCCTTTGGAACTGAAGATATTTTTCTGTGTTTATCTAAAAATGGGAAAAATTAAGAAAACACAAGAAGTCTTCAAGGACTTTTGAGAGATCCACTGAGTTTGTGTGTTCCTGGGGACTGTTCTAACCCCAGATCAAACATGTCTAGTTTTTCTTGAAAAATCTGACTGATTATTGACTTATCAAAACCTTAACCCTTTCATCAAGTCCATCTAATGTCCATCTTTTAACACCACTGAGATATCATAGGAAGTTTTAAGGGACTAGTGTTCATTGTGAAGTTTAGCTGGTTAAATGGATTCTTTTTCCTCAATGTTACCACAAGAATGGCCAACATCTTTTCAAATATAGTAAAATTTACTCATCCTGTCATTAAGAGATGGATGGATGGGTGCGGTGCAGACTCCAGTAGTAGCAGTTTCCCCGGCTGACCGGTGCTAGCCTCTGTCTGTGCATGGGGGCATCTTTATGGGGCACTTGCTCAACCTCCACTCAGGGGTTTGAGGTGAATTCAGCCAGTCCCCATGAGCAGATCTTCCTCAGATAATCACAAACACCACAGATACGTGCTTAATCTTGGAACACTGTATCGGTACAAACGACTTGTAGCAACACTAGTCTTTAGTTTGAAGAAGAAAGAGGTGAATTACTCTACTTGATCTTAATGCTGATGATCTTCACATGGCTGAAAATATGTTTTTTATATTATAACAAAAAGAGGGCACACCTGAGAACCCAGACTGGGCATCTGAAGAGCTTGGTTGAACCAAAACCTAGACCCAAACCCACAGACAAAGACCCACAGGGGGCAAAATGACACAGGTGAAGAGAGAAGAGCTGCTGGCCAGGGCAGGAGGGAGCTGAGGACCTGATGGTGAGCAGGACCCGGTGGACATCAGAGAGCATCTTTGTTCATCCTCTGACTCACTGTCCACTTTCCAGATCATTGTGATTCTGACCCTGACCCATGGGCCCACCTCTGCCTGGACACAGGGTCACTGAACCGGCTGAAATCACACAGGGAGCTGCAGGAACTGCCTTTTGTATATAGATAGGACATCATTGATCCCTTTGGGAGGGTTCCCTCTGGGGAATGTTTTAGTATTTCCTTGGAAGAGTCTGTAGTGCCAGTATGGTGGCAGATTGTCCCACTGTCCTTAAACCTTTAACCAGACCAACGCACCCTAACTTCCTCTGATCTGATCAGCTCTGACTGGAGGACGCGTGGCACTGATATTCTTGGTTTAGCAGGAACCCAGACTAAATCCCCTTCAAATATTCATGGTGCAGTTTTAATTCAGAGGCTGGAAAATAAGCCTAATTCCTCTCTGATGCCTGCTGAAGGCACCGATGTTCACGCTCTGAGGTGCGTTTGTGTGAGTGGGTGTGTGTGTGTGTGTGTTCATGTCTGTTCATGTGCCAATCCCCGTGCTTTGCTGTGTCTGTGGGCTGCGTTCAGCCTGGAGAAACCTCTGCTCCTGTCCCCTCATTCGACAGGCATTGATTGCACAGTGTCTGGAGTGAAGAGCCCAGAGTAGATCTGCATTACATCAAGCAGAGTAGTCAGAAGTTATTTGCACAGCTTCTTACTCTGCCCCATAAACAGAAGAAAGACAGTAAAAAAAAAAGAGAAGTTCCTTTGGCTTCAAAGCATCACAGCTTTTGTTGTTTTCTTCTTGCCAGACAAACAAAGTTTGTTTTCGGGCTAAGACGAGAAGGTGTGAAGGACACTGTGACGTGATGGATTGTGAGTTAAGGAAAGAGAGATGGGGATGGAGGCAGAGCAGCGAGTGCACAGGCGGTGGTGTGTGTTTTTAAGATGGCTGCAGGTCTTATAGAGCACCTGCCTCTCGCTGGGGTCTGGGCCCACAGCCCTGCACAGCCAGCCCCCCCAGTGAGCAGTGCTGCCCCCCCCAGTGAGCTGTGCTGGGCCCTGGGGGCTCTCTCCACCTGACCTGGCCTCACTGCGGGTTTACTGGCCATGTCTCTGATCAGTGAGGAATGTGAGGACAACACGGACTGTTGTCCTCTGGGATTATCAAAGTATTTCTGATTCTGAAGCCTGATGTTCTGACGGTGGCTGTGTGTGTCCATGTCTGTCCAGCCCTCTGCTGGAGGAGGGGGCTGCTGGGGGGCCGGGGGCAGGCTGCTGTTCAGGCTGGAGTCGGTGCAACTTGATGATTTGTTTTTGTGAAATGTCATGGAAGCCTTCCATAAAGCATGTCTGCTATATCGCACTTGACATGGCTGGAAGAGCTGCAGCTTGGGGGGGGGGGGGAGCAGAGTCTGATTGGAAAGGATTCTCAGTGGTATGCAGAACAGTCCTCATCACGCACCGTTGTTCCAGGGATCTTTTCTTTTTCACACCCGTTTCTCCACACCTTTTCAGTCCAGTTTAGAATAACTATATTCAGATAACCCATAAACTGTAGCCTCGCTCAGGGTAGCAGCAGAGGAACATCTGTGTGTGTGTATGTGTGTGTGTGTTTTGTTGCATCTGCAGAGGTGTATTTTGGATGTTCTCTCTCCAGCATGTGCTGTGCACTAGTGTGTAAATGAGTGCAGCTCCAGATCTGAAGGGTTTGAATGTGAGGAAGTGACTGGAACGTGTGGCTGTCAGTGGAGGCAGAACCTTCAGAGCTGATGTCACAGTAACTGGCGACCGGGGCCTTTTGTGGTCAGTTGTAGAGGTTTGTTGTGCATAAGGTGTGTGACAGAAGGTCCATCTGTGCTGGTGTCTTTGAAACCAATCCAAACCCGAGAAGGCCCCACTGCTGAACCCTCCCACATCCAAAAGAAATGAAATGAAAAGAGGCGACTTAGAGAAGCTGAGAGTGTGTCTCTCCTTGTCAGTTTTGTTTAGTTTTGTGTTGTGTTGTTAGCGCTAATGCTCCTAAAAGCAGAGTAGTAAGAGAGTAGATGTTTCCTCTTCCCACAGGGAGGCAGGGCAGACTCCAGTCTGTTAGTTTTAGGTAAAAGAGGGAAAGGGGGACATCCTGAAGTCTAGTAGCTGATTCGACCTGATTTCAAACTTGTGATTAGTTTTGTGGTGTTGCTGAGTCAACGTGGCATTGTGGCTGTTTGTCCTCACCGGAGAACAGTGGTCTGTCCTCTCTGTGAACATCATCACACAGCCTGTAGACCCTTCTCAGTGTTTGTCGCAGCTTGAAGAGAAAAGGCTGAGGCGGAGGGGCAGGAAGAGGAGAGGGTCAGCTGGGGGACAGATGCTGGACCCCAGCCTGTCCTGCCAGCTCATCCCCGATTACACGCTTTGGAAAAGGCAAACCACTGGATGCCGTGCTGAATCTGGGATAGAAAAAGATTGAAAACGGGGTTTGGTTTAGTCTCCTGTGACGGTAAGCTGTTATAGTGATTAAATTCATTGAAATAATTTGGACTCCGATTTTCTAAGAGTGACTATTTTTTATATTCCACACGTCTGATATTCTGTCATCTGTAATGTGCATTTGATCACACTGGTCCTGATGATACTAGTTACCTTATTTCCTGATTGATGTCCATTTAATAGGAGGTTAAATATATTTAATTGCGTCTCATTTCTCTCATTGCTAAGGGATTGAGTTTGTTGGTATGGTCCATCCGTCTCATTTAGAAGGGGGGGCAGAGCAGCGGGCAGCAGGCGGGGGGGGGGGCAGCAGGCTGAGGCTGGGGCAGCTGGAGAACAGAGACCAGCCCTCAGGTCACCAGCAGCAAAAGAGCATCCCAGAAAGCTGCCCCCCCCCGCTCAGGCCTCCATTTTTTAAACGTCTCTGTTTGTATGGGAAAACATCGATGCACTGCGATTCATTTCCTGGTCTTGTTCAATTGGAAATCTCAGTTGTGGACGTTTCAGAGGTCACTGTTTCCTCAGTGCTGCCCGGGGGCCTGCCACAGAAACCCCCCCAACAGCCTGGCTAAAAGAAGGAGAAGCATCGGATATAAAGCCAAGAATGCTGCTCACAATAGATGCATGGTGAATCCTAGAGGCCTGAGGCTGTTTGCTAAGTGGAGAGAGGGAGGCTGCGGCCCAGTGTGTGTCAGAGCTGCTCTTCAGGATTCAACCAGGAAGATCCTGGAGTGCGTCAGGAAGATGGCTTCTTATAAAGATCGCTAAGAAAGTGTCTGGGGTCTCTGAGAAGGTCCAGTGCTCCTCTGTTGTGCATGTTCAGAAACAGCTGGCAAGCCTCAAATCTCCTTAATGAGCTGCAGAATAAACGTAGAACTGTAA